CCGGCGTCTTGATCATCACCTGATGCGCCTTCAAAATTATCACTCCCTGACCTGCTCTCATACTCATCATCCCTCATCCTCCCAATAATCCCAGGATCAAAATTCTCAGCAATCAGGCCCAGTTCACTGTGACCATCCATGTTCTTCTGCACGAACACATATCAGAGGAAGATCAATAACAACAAAAACAACAACAACAACAACATGGACTCAAATTAAAAGATCATCAATAGATATTTTAGAATAATAAAAAAAACAACAACAACGAGTGAGGATTTAAGTTTTAAGCCATGAATCAGGGGAAAAGCTCAGCAAGGGAGAGAGGCATACTATTGAAAGAGAGAGGGTAGAGGAACTCCGCATTGAATTGGGAACAGGGGAAGTGAGAAAGTGTGGTTGAGCAATGGCACCACTGGGCATGTAGGGGGTATGTGGAGCAATATCAGCCACAACTCTTGCACCCCCACCTCCACTATTACCACTACCACCGCTGATCAAACCTCCAAAACTCATCAAAAGAAATGAGGAAAAACAATGGCAAGATTGAAATTTGAAACCCCTCTAGAGTCTAGACTCTCTTTTTCTCTTCCTTCCTTTCTCTCTGATTTTTTTGACTATTTGACTCTGTGTCTCTGCAAGTTTTTATAGAAAGATAGAGTCACTCTCACTTTCACAGGGGTATGTTTATGACTTGTTTTTTATTTTATTCTAAATGTTTGACCTTACCCAGCGATTGCCAGATTGAGCTAAAGACTGAGAAAGTGGGAATGCATTCTAAGTAGAAACAGAAGAAAAAGCTGTTTCCTTGTCAACGCCCATGCATGACTCAAGACCCTCTCTCTCTAGAAAACTCTTTTATCTCTCTAGAAAATATGTTCCAGATAAATGAAGAAAAAGAACAAGAAGACAAGAAAAGTCCTTTTTTTATGCTCCACAGTTCACACAACCCCCTCCCTCTTTTTTTTTGGTCACCACAACCCCCTCCCTCCTATCTCTTCCTCTGATAAAACTATGAGAACAAATCTCTGAATATTATAAAACCACATAACCACATCCTTACATACAGTGAGCGGTTACGAAAACCCTAAATCTCCATCCCTTTCTGATGTGCTTGACTAATTGTTTGGCAGGATTGAAAAAGACCCAAGATTTAAAAGGAAAAGAAAAGATAGAAAGTACGCAAAAGCGGTCTCAGAAAAATATGGCAGAGGGAAAACAGACAAACACAAAAAGGTGAAGGGAAAAAGCTTACCTCATATTCACACTATTCCACTCATGACTTTTAGAATACATAATACCAAATCCAAACAAAAGACTCAGTGGACCTCTCTCTCTCTCTCTCTCTCTCTCTCTCTCTCTCTCTAATGTTACAGACAGATAGATGGATGGCAATGGCATGCAAACCAACCCAAGTACGGGGAATAGGTTACCTTTTAATTTTGACAGTGAGGCCAAGGAAGCAGCCTCTGTCTATGTCACACAGCCAAGCCAACCAAAGTTAATAAGATTTTCAGAACCCCTCTCTCTCTCTCTCTCTCTTCTGGGATCTGTGGAAGATAAAAGACAGACAAAAGATATATCTTTGTTGACAAGTAAAACTTTGTACTGTTAATCTATTAAATATAAATAAAAAAACAATAAATGATAATAAACAAAGGGACTTGAGGAAGGTTTTGCAGCTGACTTACAATGACTCTCTCAGACAGGAAATTCAAGAGTCAATGAGGCTTTTTTTGTTAATAATTTTTCTCTGTCTTTTTCTTGGCGCAAACCTCTCTCTAAGTTATGCCTTGATTGAATCAATTTTCAGACCCAAATGGTAAAATGCCTTCTTCATGCAAACCAATTCTACTTCTCATCCACTCTCTTTCTTTCTTTCTTTCTTTCATATTACGAGAAGAAAATCAGAGAAAGACATAATAAACGCATATTATATATAGAGAAGGAGAGATAAATAAAGAAAAGAGCGTGGGGCGGGACCCACTAGGTTCGTGAAATCCGCCCAAATCTACTTTCACGCGCGTGCGGGTGTTCTCATTTTGTGTACTTGCCTCACTGGAGTTTTGATTCCGTGTGTACACATCATCACTGTCGGTGCATTCACTGTATTTTGGACCAATGAGGTGGTGCCTTTTCGAAGGGTTATATGGTCGGCCCACCTATGCTGCAGGGTTTGGTACTTTGGTTGCTCTATATAGCCTGTATGTATGACATCACTCCTTTTATTACTGGATATGGCTCCCCACTAGTATTCTTGTTATTTCACAATATACCCTTCATCTTTCAAAATTTACAATATCCACTCATGTCCAATTCCCTCTATTTTGTATTTGGGAATTTTTAAGAACAGTATTTAAATAAATAAAACACACACACAAAATACTTTTCTAGTAATTAATTAATTAATTTTGAACTTGTCTAACATTTCTATTAGCTTTTTTTCCAATTAATTCATCAATAGACACCAAAATTCTGAATTAGAAAATTTGTAATAAAACACATAAATTTCTTTCGTATCCGCAATAACTGACCTACTTATTTTCCTAGATATAGATTGGATGTACACAAAGTAATACTAGTAATGTTATTAAGAGACCGTTCCCCAAAGATGGTATAAAATCACTATTGTTTTGCCTTTTAATCGGTTTCCATTTTATGTCTTACAATCAATTGCGCGTGCTCATTTTATGTACTTCATTTTCTCATTTTCTAGTTTAAGTCTTATCGCATTGCACATGCGAGGCACGTGCATTGTCATTGGGAAATTGTATAAAGTTGTAGTATGTATATATCTACCACAATGAGCACATAACCTTCAATGTGGCATGACAGTTGGTGAAATATTATTACAATTTATAGAGCCATTTATAATTTTTGTACATTATTTACACTTTCAAATTCATTACATACCCAAAAAAACAAGTATACAAAATATATATTAAAGTTTCATGTGTCATCGAGACTTAAGGGTAATTGGTTCAGAAATATATTAGCTATGTTTAAATTGTCATTATAGTAATGTTATAATGGCATGTGCCTTCTAGTGCATAGTCTCTACTTTTTGCACATTTGATTTCATGGGTGTCATAAATTATTTATGATTGAGCTGATCACTATTGTGGTTAAAGCTCTTAATTAAATAATTATGTTGCATAATTATACTGGTAAAGAAATATAGAAACTTTTTCTCCTGTGTTTCAGTTAATTTGTAGCTGAATGTGAATCTATGGCCTTGGCTGAAATATATATCAAATCCAACACATTTAAGCTTTGGAAATAAGACCTGAATCTATCTATTTGATTCATGGTTTTAATGAACGGAATCATGTTCCTCTCATTATATAATTTCGTATTCAAATAATAGTTATTATGATTTAATGTAAGAACAAGATTTGTCTCCTATTTTAAGGCAATATTATTATTGATTGTAACGTTGAATGTAAAGTGTATTATGGTAAAGGACTCACTAGTGTAGTAGTTTAGAGAGTCTTAATATTCGTTTAGTATGTGTGAACTTAGTATATTATTGTCAATCTCAATAGAAAATGTTCTTAAAAAAAAGTGTATTATCAGGGGCGGAGCTGTATTAAGGCTTGGGATGGCCCTGGCCCCTCCAATTTATTTAACCCTTTTGAATGTATGTATTGGATGTGGTAACAAATGCAACGAAAAATTGCTATACTTAAGCCTATGGCCCCCTCACCACAAATCAATACTTGTCAAAATTGTATTTTAATATGAATATAATAGTAAAATCATACTACATTTATGAAATAAAACCACTCATTTCAATTTAGTGCTTTTGTACGCAATAGTTTACTCAATAGGCCAAAAAAAATATACAACTAAACTTTTTGTGTTTAACATTTTGGCCCCCTCAAATATAAAATCCTAGCTCCGCCCCTGTGTATTATGATGCTGCTCTCAAAGCAAATGCATAGCGAAGGTATTGCATTTTTGTTCTCTTGGTTTATACATCCAAAGATTAGTCTTCTTAAAAAAATTAATAAGTTTAGAAATACAGCATTGGAGCATAATTGGATTTAAATTGCCATGTTAAAAACTTGAAAGACCGGCTTACATAATTCATTGAACAAATCAATGAAACACCCATAATACCATGCCTGGTAATTTAATATAATTTTCCCTATTTAGAAGGAAATTAAACAGAAAATGTCGTATTCAAATTACCATATTAGGTCACTCAATCAGTTTGCTTCTTCATTAAGATTAGATAAATTGAATCCATTTCTATCCATAATCTAGCAAGACCTTCGCGAGGATCTGTATAGGAAATATCGAACATACCCTTATATTCTTATCCATTTTAATAATAAATCTAAAACTCCATTTTCGTTCACATTTTGTTATTTGCAACCTTAAGCCCAGCCCACTGTTTCAAAGTTGGCACCGTCTGTCAGATGTTGCTGCTTTGACCAAAAATAAGAGTTCGTGGGCCCATAAAGTTCTTAGCTTACGTGGGCCTCTGTATGGCCCACCCTCCGCCATATATTCTGTTTCGTTTTTGGGTCAAAAGTCAAAAGTCAAAACCCTCTGCGATATACAAAACGATAATTTTATACACTTACCATTTGGGGTATTTCTCAGAAACAGAGTGACAAACTGCCGCCATGCCATGGTAGATGGTACTCTGCCCTGTCTGTTTAAATAAAAATTTATTTATTTAAAACAGAGTTAAACTTGCACGTGGGTTTTCATGGTTATATGATGAATGAGCACGTAGCTGATCATAATGATGTGTTCGTTCTGTGAATTCATGAGGGTGGGTAGATGCCAATCCACGTTGCATGTGTTGTTTTATTGATTACTTTGGTTGGTTAGTTGGCTCTGTCGAGTCGAGTGTATTGATTTTCCAAGAACATATTAATTTTGAGTATGTCGGTTGTTCCAATTTCTGATTAATATTTGTTGGATATTTCGGTATTGTAATTAATTTGATCGACATTCTGGTGCTGATGCATCATTTTTAGATGTAGAAAATGAACATCAGCATCAGCATTAATAATACAAGGACATTGCTGCAGAAACTGTTAAGAAGAGAACAAGTGAGAAACCTGAGGTTCGAGATCGAGATGCTGCAAGAGAGGCTGCTCTTCGGTACGTTCTTTGCATTGTGCAGTGAAATTAAGGAGAAGATTAAGAAAACTAAAAATGAAAACAAGGCAGAGGTAATGGCCAAGTCACAGAAGAAAAGAGTCAACTTGCCACAGGGTGCTGCCTGCACCCAAGGGCCCCAAGGCTGGTGGGGGTGGGGCTAAAGGGCAAGCGCTGAACACATCATCAATGAGATGAGATTCTTTTTCTTTTTTGTGACTGGGTAAGTAGATGTTGATAATTGTCTGTCTTCAATTTGGTTTGCTCTGTTCAGCAATTCTTTTCTTCTTTCATGAAATTCTGATTACTTTTGCAGCTCGATACATAAATAAAAGGAGGAGTGACAAATTTAGTATTGTGTTACTTTTACCTCCCCACCCCACGAGTCACAAACTTGCATATTATGAGTGCATGTAATGTAAGATACTAACACACGATTGTGAGTGAGGTCTCTCTGCTTTAGGATTTGTTGATCATAAACTGATCGAAAAGATTTAAAGTAAAATCTACTTTACAATGATTACAATGGGTAAAAAGGAAGACAAATTTGTGAATGATTACTCTTCTAGCTTCCTCAGCTTTAGGTTTCTTGTTTCTGAACCCTTTTAGAAGAAACGGACAGACACAAACAAAATGTCTTTAGAAGAATGATGAAGAAAGAAAGGAAACAGAGGTGAGCCATAGAAAGTGTACAAACTGTCATGATGGTATGTAGTAGGGTACAAGCAATACAGGGGAACCTCAACTCGATTGTCTGACACTTAGACCAACCAACAAACTTTACTAATGCATTCTGACAAAGATTATGATTGATTTACCTGTCTCACCTTCCACACGTACGTATCTAATTATGAAGAAGCCAATCCATCCTGTTCTTTCTTTCTTTCGATGCCTCTTTGCCCTTCTACAAGCTTCACCACTTCTTTGTCATTTCCTCTCTCTACCATAATTTGTAACAGTTAACTATTAGCTGTCACTAAATGAAAAGAAGAATCATGTACCACTCTCTATGTTTCATGTGTACAGAGGTAGGGAATAAAGTTAACAACTTTAGAATTGGGTAATGGTTTGATGAGACCATTTTGCAAGCGAGAGAATTTATATGGTACGAATAATTATGAAACAGAAGACAAGAATCAAATACGATTACGGGTTTTGCTTTAGTACATTAGGTGCCAAGGGGAAATCAAAGATGATGTTCAGTTGAAAGATGTATGGAACTAAACTTCTTCTTTTTCCGGCTGTTATTTATGAGAAAAACTTCTCTACCCCGTTGCATCACCTCTTTCTTCATATATCTCTCCTTCTTTTGTGGTATGAATCCTGCTCACTTTCGAAATGAGCCTAGATCATGGTCTCATTTGGATTTGGGGTTGAGCAAAAAAGTCAAGAAAATAATTGAGTCTTTTTGCAAATATTATTCTTTGAAGTTTGGACTTCATAAAGCTTTTGCTTGGACCCCAGGAATAGAAATCCAGCTTTATTAGTTGGTTGGTTCCCTTCCTTTCCTTCATTCTCTATGTTTATAAAGTTAAAAACGCGTTGAAGCAAGCAACCGATCACATTTAAAAGGCAGAGTGTCTGTTTCTTTACCGAAAAAAAAAGCGAAACGGTAACTTCTAGTTAGTGACTTGGTGGAAAACAACGGAAAACAGAGAATCTGCGCATGTTTAGCAACAGTCCAGTGGTTCATAGCTCGCACTCCAAAAACCACATTACCCAATCATTCCAAGCCACGACAACACCCTGCCAATTGGCCAGATAGAAACTCACGTGACATGGCACGCGCCTGTTGACGTGGAAGAGAACCATTGGTTCAAAACTAAGACTTAACTTATGTAACACCATGATGGGGACTGTTGCAGTCGGAAACCTGAAAATGCTGACCTCACTTTGTTTGTGCCACTCTCCATTCCATTAAACCTTTCCACCAACTCCATCTGAACAATTGCACAGGCTCTGCTCTGCCACAAACCCAATTCCGAGAGAGAGAGAGAGAGAGAGAGAGAGCACCATAAACATACAAAACAAAGAAGGAACAAAATGCCTGGTGAAGTTGAAGATGTGGAAAACAGAGGAGTGAAAGACAGAGCAAGGCAGAGCTACTCGTCGTCTTCTTATGTGATAGAGGACTCAGAGACCCAATGGACTTCTTGGTTGGTCCCCATGGTTGTTGTGGCTAACGTTGGTGTGTTCCTTTTGGTCATGTTTGTGAACAATTGTCCAAAGCACAATTCTCAGATTGAGGGCAAGTGTGAGGCAAGGTTTCTTGGGAGGTTCTCGTTTCAACCTTTGAAGGAGAACCCTCTCTTCGGCCCTTCTTCTTCCACGTAATTGAAAAATCTTTGGTTTTCTCTCATACCCATTTCCCAATTTTCGGTTTTTTGTTTTGTTGGTGTTTCTGTTTTGGTGCTTAAAATCTCGGTGTTGCTCCTGTTGAAGCACTTGATATATGTTGGTGGTTAAGTTTTCTGGGCACTTGTGATTTGATTACTTTATTGCTACTTTACAGATTTTTCAGCCTTCGAATTCTTACTTCTTTTTTTCACGTAGAAAATGAGTTGAATTGTAGTTACTGCATTAGCTTGATAGTGAAACTAGGATCTATTGAATGTCTAATTTTGATAACAAGGATATATTAATGGTATTAGATTAGTGCAAATTTAGTTCCCTTATAGCTAGAGCTTGTGTTTCATTGCATATACTGATAATTATGATTTAGATTGAGTTTCTGAGACGCTACGAATTCCGGTTCCTCTGCATATAAGAAGAGGAAGCTCTTAGGTCGTTTTTGGTTGGTGGGTTCTGTCAGGCAGATTTCATCTTGAGATAGTTAGTATCAATGCTGAGAATCCCCTAAGAAAACAAGTACAATCCTTGAAGGGTCGTAACAAGTTCTAGCAGACTGTATGAGCTGAAAGCTTTTTTGCCTCAAAAGAATAGCCACTGGATACTAAACATAGTGCTTGTGCAAGCTAACGGAAAAGCTTTCAAACATCCAAAGTCTCGGGCTTTCTTATTCTTGTAACATGTTTAAATGTTTTTGCACCAATTACTTCAACTATGCTGAAAGTGTGTCTTTTTCATTGACCCACCTTATTATGACAGATTGCCCTTTCTCTTACTGTTTGTGCTTTTTTATCCTCCCCCTCCTTCAAAACCTATTGCAATTTGAACAATGCATAACCTTTTCATGATTTTGAAGATTAGAGAAGATGGGAGCTTTGGATTGGGCCAAAATTGTGCATAAGCATCAGGGATGGAGGCTTTTCACTTGTATTTGGTTGCATGCTGGCGTAATCCACCTGGTTGCTAACATGCTGAGCCTGGTGTTCATTGGAATTCGTATAGAACAGCAATTTGGTTTTGGTATGTTTCTCTTCCTGTTTCTAAATGATGCCGGAGCGCAGTGTATTACTTTGACTATGAATATATTTTCTTGTACCTTTTGTGGGTACAATCTGATGTTATTAATTATTATTTGATTTTGGTTACTAAGCATCACACATAATCTTAGTTTTAAATGTCTATTTGGGAGAGAGAATCTCATTATATCCAAGTAGACTCAAGAGTTGGTACAATTGGCAGTGCGAGTTGGAATTATATACTTGTTGTCTGGATTTGGAGGGAGCATACTTTCGTCCCTTTTCATCCGTAGGAACATCTCTGTTGGTGCCTCTGGTGCTCTTTTTGGGCTTCTTGGAGCAATGCTTTCAGAACTAATTACCAATTGGACTATTTATACCAACAAGGTAAGCAGTGCTTTCAAGAAAAGAAAAATGCTGGTACCGTTAACCATTATGGTGGAACCAGATTAAATATTTGCTGCTGTTTGCTATCTGTTATGAGCCTATACATTTCAATCTTAGCAGCAAGAAGATACTGCCCCCAGTAATGAATAAATAATGTTTACTAATTCACTCTTTATTTGATTGCCTCCATAGGTTGCAGCCCTCCTCACCCTTTTGGTCATTATTGCAATTAACCTTGGCATTGGAATTTTGCCACATGTTGATAATTTTGCCCACATTGGTGGGTTTCTTACTGGTTTCCTCATCGGCTTTGTCTTGATGCCCCGTCCTCGGTTTGGGTGGTTGGAGCAACCAAATATTCCCGCTCGTGTCAATGTCAAGTCCAAATACAAGGCTTACCAATATATGCTATGGCTTCTTTCTCTTGTTCTGCTGATTGTTGGGTAAGTTATTTACCCTAATCGTTCTGAGTGGTTGTTTGTTTCTATTCAAATCAAACTGGTTGCAGTTATTTTGATCATATGCAGGTTTACAGTTGCATTGATGATGCTCTTCCGCGGAGAGAATGGGAATGACCATTGTCATTGGTGTCACTACCTCAGCTGTGTCCCTTCATCTAGATGGCATTGTGAAGAAAATTAACACTCAAAGCAGACACTTCAAAAAAGAAAAAAAGAAAAAAGGAATATGTTCTTTTTCTACTATGTTAATGTTTAGTTGTTTTAGAAACTGGTTTGCTCTACCTGTTGTTATTGTATAGGCAATTGCTGTATTATTGTTGGTGGGTTTTAGAATGCTCAAATTTTTGCATGTTTGATATGTTGCTATGTGTAATTGCAATCATTCTTCATTCGATTGGTTTGTCTGTCAATGTTGAGTTCAGTACTAAATCGTTATCTTGTTTGTAAACCCAATACGAAATAGGGAAAAAGAAATTTATGCAAAGTGCCAAAAAATTTGAAATGAATGGCTTCGCCCGGGTTCGAACCGGAGACCTTCAGTGTGTTAGACTGACGTGATAACCAACTACACCACGAAACCAAGTTGACAACATTGTTCCTCAGTACCAATTTATACAAATAATAAAAACTAGGCCTTATTTCTTCTAATTAGATAGTGGATACGGGCTCAGTTTAGTTGTCTGACTTAATTTTTTTTGGGTCAACAGTTGTATGGGTCATTCAACCTTCATGAAGAAGACCACACGTTATTTATTTTACACCAACCCAACTATACCGTCACTATAAAAAATAAGTGTTGCTGTTGCGTAAACCAGAACAAGTTACAATTAGTAAGGTGTAAGTTGATGTAATTTTGGGAAATGGGAAGCCGGAAGTTGATGATCGGAGTAACAATCATGGCGTTGTTATCAACAGCGATATTGGTGTCTAGCACGATAGAATGCTCCGCCGTGACGGCACTGGTCTCCACTTGCTACACCTTCATCACGTATGGCTCACCAGACCCCTTCCCGGGGTCTCCATGTTGCAATGCCATGGCCAATCTCAAGGTTATTGCTGACACAATTGAGAATCGGAGATTTGCATGTAGATGCTTATTGGGCCTCATTTCCACATACAACCCAAATGCTTATGCGATTGCTACTTTGCCCGACTTTTGTCAAGTTTCTTTGGGGTTCAATATCGATCCTAACACTGATTGCAACTTGTAAGTTTGTACCTCTTTCTTTCTCTCCCACATGTTTTGGGTTCAAGGTTTCACAATTAATAAATTGGGCCTAGTTACGATTTTGTATGGACTCTCATAGCCCAATTGTTGTTTATGGTTTTGGTTTTTCTTTTTCGGGAGCTTATACAGTGATGAGGTTATGTTGAGGGGTTCAATCCAACCGTCCAATGTTGAGAAATTTGTTGATGAAATAGTTGTGAATGACCCCCTCACTATAACCCCTCATTACAGCCTCATTGTCTTTTTCCGACCAATGTTTATGGTTTTGGTTTGTGATGGTGCAGAATCCTACGAGTTTGGGTATGCAACTTTAACAGGAGTAGGTTCCGGAAAATTAGCCAAATGGAAGACAAAATAAACAATCTCATGTGTTCAGCTGCAGGGCAGAGGAAGGGAGGTTCGAGTTTTGGGTTGAAGAAAATCTAAATAATTGAAGATCTGATTGTACAAATTATGGAAATTATTAGGTTCGAGTTAAACTGTTGCTTTTAAGGTAAAATAGTTAATAATTCAAATATGGTAACATGATTGCTAACTGAAATGATTATAGCGATCCTACTTTAGGTCATTTAAAGTTGCCCTATAAAGATTTGATTACTGCATCAAAAAGTTTTAATGCTTTTGCTTGCCATGTAAAAGTGCTAGCAGCCAAAATTGGGTACATGATGACCCAAAAAGAGAGGCTTTGCTACATAATCCAAAATCAATTTCACAACCAGTTTCGATAATGACCCGTGGTTGGGATCCAATGCATGCAGTTTGCAGTTGATTTGATTTTGGCGGTAAATGTGTGTATCAAGAGTGCCTTCTCCTGGTTTTGTCCAAATCCACAAAAGCCACCGCCAATTAAGTGAAAATATCTTATCCCGTGAATGAGATTTGGAAAAAGAATGTTGTTGAAAATGACTTGGTGGGATGTGATTGCAATTGCAAACTCTAGCGACTCATAAAAAACATGTACGAAGAATACTAGAACCAAAGTTTGATACGTAAACAAAGCACAATCGAAATTACATTTTTACTGAGTTCGAATCCATGAAGGGACACTCGCACTTTTGAAACTATGTTCAACTTTTGACACCCACGGTGCCAAACTTTGATTTCCTAACAGCTTTGTACATCAAGGATTCAGGGTCAAGTAATTAAAACTCAAAACATCGCCTGCCATACACAGAAATAAATACATAGAACATGGAACATCACCGTGGACTGGCACTCCCAAGTCTGTTCAAGCGGCTAGAGCTAAAAACTGATTTATTCCGGCAGTCGGAATCTTGAGCAAAACTAGTATCTGAACAAGTTCCAGCATCCCAAAACTCCTGAACAGACTTTTTGGTCAAACCATATTTCTCAACCTCAAGCCTTTGCCTTGGGGCACTCTGTGACCTGACCTTAGCTCGGGATGATTCCGTGTTAGCCATGTAGTTGGGGTAACCTGCATACCCATTAATGAAACCCCACGAGCATTCACTCCTTGCTGGCGTGAAGTGATGTCCTCTTCTACCGCTACTTCCAGGTCTAGAGGAGGCAGAAAATGCTTGTGGGCTGTTCTCAGCATTCCTAAAAGCTGCTTCATCTGTTGCTATAGCATATTTCAGAGAGCTCAGTGATAAGACGTCCATAGAAGCTTGGTTTGGAATCAGGTTTGGTTCTTTCATCGAATGTTTGGATGGAGAGTCAAATGTCATGAAGGTTGGGTTGTAACGATCCGAAGTCAGAACATGATGTGCCGTTTGAAAGGTTTGGGGTCTACGTTGGGAGCCCAAGTGAGGCTTCCAAGTATCTACTTCAAGTATCTTGTCTCCCCTTATGTCATCTGCTTGCTCATATCTCAGTGAAGCATCTCGGCGGTTGTTCCGCGCACTTTCTTCCATCCACCGGTCTAACCAACCTGACGCCAGCCGTCTTCTGTCTAGATTTACGACATCCCTTACATTTGAATTTGAACCGCATCTCTGAGTTTGATGGAACAGAGGAATTTGATTAATATCAATTGGTTTTTATGAATAAAATAAGGATCAGTATTCTAGAATACAGGTTCAACAATGTCCCGGGATCAAATTTTGACAGTAACATTCTCTAGCTTCCATTAAAAAATTTTGTGACCCGGTTTCAAACTTGCTACAGAATATCATCCACAAGTAAAGCATCATATGCAGTAGGAGGGGTTAATAAAATCCTACACAGCCATTGAAGTAAATACCTTCAGTATTGAGGGTCCATCAAATTTGCTGCTACAAGCACGGGGTTGGTATCCAATTTTGTCAGGACTTTCTGGGAGCTGCAAGTAGACATCATAGAAAATGAATACCAATTATGTAAAAGTAAGCAAAGTTGGACTCAACAAAATAAAATATTGAAACAAATTTGTCCCGAGAAAATTTAGCTAACCAGGTAAAAAGTTGAGAATTATTAATACTAAGAGTATGGCATACAAATCCAACCTGGCACAAAGAGTGTTTTTACCCCTCGTATTTGACAAGAAAATGGAAAATAGTAAGCCTGATTTAAAAGGAAAGGTCTGCTTACAGGGTGGTGAGATAGGGAGGATTTTCTGCTAGAATGTAGTGAGTCTGACATGAGTGTTCGACTTGCACGTGCTCGGGCTTGTACTCGGACCAGTGTCTGCATACGCCTGAGCATGTCTGCCGATTGTTTTCTCACTATGTGGCCTCTCACCAAAGCTTGAAGCTTCACCAGTGCTTTAAGTGCCCTTAAGGCCCTCCTTGCCTGTCATAGTTCGCCAAAGTTCAGAGAATCAGGTCATCGACATCTCAGAATGCTAACCAATATAATTCAGTACAAATCAAATGGATGAAACAAGTGTGCATAACAATTACAGTTTTCTTAACTATGACAATATTTCCTGTGAAATGCAACCAGAGCCCAGGAATTTAAAATTAGAGGGAACAGACTGTGGCACAAAACTTTTAGAAAAGGGAGAGGCTTGTGGATGAAATCATGATCTCACTCACACATGCATCCCTACTGAATAAACAAATAAAAGAAAGAACAAGGATATAAAAACTCGTTTCCGGCATAAAATAATTTCAAAAATTAATTGAACAGCATCCCAATTGCCATTTCATCCAGTTATTTAATTAATCAAGGACTGCCAAAGGCAATCACAGCTCAAACAGAACAACTACTCATTATAGACAACCAACCACAAAACAAGCTGCACTAATTTGAATTTGAACTTGGAAGTGAAAAAGGGAAAGCAAAGAAAGAAAGTAGGAGAGCAGGCGCAGTTCTCTGCAAGTAGAACCCAATCATATCACCAGGAGAGGCAAGAGGCCCCAACAGCCAAGCTGGAAACCAGTGGGTTGTGCTTGCTTGTAGTCAGAGACACAGAGGTCAAATTTCTACCAAATGAGTTGTACCCACGTCATCATACAAATTCGAGTCTATGGGTACGAAAATACGAAAATAACCTCTATGTAAGCCATATACGAAGGAAGAAGCCTCCAGAAGTCGTCAAGTACGGATTACACGTACGAAACCACTGTTTGTCAAAGTACAGTAAACATGCTGTTGATAACACAGAGAATCACCTCTCCCAGACGCTGACACTGACTCAGCGAGTTGACACATCAACTGGTACCAGTGTCGGCGGTCTTCTAATTTTTATTTTTAATTCCTTGTTTTATTTTGTGAAAAACTATGTTTATGAACAGTACTTTTTATGAAGCTTCAAATCCAGCCTTTCTTTTAAGCCCATGTTTGTTTCCCGAGAAACTTTTTCGATAGAGAAAGAGAAGAAGAGGAAGGTAGAATTTGAAATCCCAAATTAATTTAAATTTCCCCTTCCTTGTAATTTGCGAGCAAACAGAATTTTATAGGGAAAGAAATTCAAAATTTTAAAATAAAAAGTGAAACCAAACATAATCATGCGTTAAAGTTCGAAACTTTTTTGTACTTCCGAACCAATTAACAAAGCATCACGAAACGTAATTTCAGCTGAAATCCAGGGGCAGAAACGGTAAAAAATTCAAAACAAACCGCTAACCAGGTATCTCCGGAAAGCAGACTGTATCTTTACGGCTGCCAGATGGCGGCTGACGCTAGCCGACGCCGCCACGGGTAAGCTAACGTGCTCGGAAGTGCCGGGTCCAGCTCCATTAGTGAGGCGAACGACCTCGGCCGCCGCATGAGCCGCCGCGAGAGCGGCCTCAGCTACAGCAGCCGTAGCAGCGGCTACAGCTATGGCGTGCTTGTTGGCGTCCAATCCTACCCATTCTTGAGCAGCTGATGATGTGGAGGCGGTGGTGAGCTTTTGTTTGTTAGAGGCAGAAGTAGTCCTATTTTCCTTGTTGTGGTTGGCCGTCGGCGAAGTGGTGCTTTTGGGTCTTTTAGGGCCGAAGAGTCGCCGGAAAAAGCCCATGTCTCATTGCTGGGGAATGGGCCGTTCTAAGTAGAAGAAACAGACAGAAAACAAAGTTGGGGACTTTGTGAGAGAGAGAGAGAGATAGAGAAGGCACTAGGCAGGCAGTGCCAGCGAGTGTGCGTTTGTTGTGGTGACAAGTGAGTGAGTGATAGAGATGAAAGTAAGATTTATTATGTAGTGAGTGAGTTAAAGTGTGGGGAATTTTTAATTTTAAAGAGACAAAGATGAGCTTTGTCGCACAGTTGTGTGGTTGACGAGTAGGACCCGCGCATTGAAATGCTTTCCCATATTCCTTGTTCGGGGGAGTGGTCACAGCTACAATTGTAATTGTAGAATTTACTGTGGTTAACAATTGACAATGTTCGGTTTATCCTGGATCAACAGATCAAGTGCAGCAAACCTACTGTGGTTGTGGTTCTCTTCCATTTGTTACAAAATGGAGCAAGGTTGTCTTGACTTTTGAGGTCCCTGAGCATATGGATGCTTTTCAAGCTTCTCCTTCAAGGACCAAAGGTTGCCTCCATTGAAGCCCTGCCAAGTTCATAATACAACTTGGGTTTTCCGTATATCAAGTTCAGGTTATAAACTTCATTTTGTGTTGTAAAAATGGGAGTTGACCAGGTGGTGCAATATCAAATGCATTTTTATATGACATCAAGAGTGCCTCTTCACACTCCAGTATTGCATTTCAAATGAAAAAACAATAGGCTTTTGAGACTGTACAGTATATATTTAACATACATTCTTTGAGAGAGAGAGAGAGAGAGAGAGAGACTTTCAATGGTCGTTCACCTTTACTTGAGCACAAGAAATGGACTGTCAGAAGTTCTCTATCCACGATCCAAAAGCAAGAATGAAGATGAATGTGCATGTTGGACATCGAGATCCATTGCCTACAGGAAACCATGAAGCAAAATAATTACCATCCATATACTTGATATGATTTAAACAACAAACTTACGAATCAATTTATTCAAGTCTTTGACTTTTACTTCTAATTACCTGCCTCAATTCAGGGGTGCTTGATACGGGCTCTTGGTATGTGCCATTGATCAGAGGTTCCTGCATGTCAATGAGTATACAACTCACATACAACAATAGCTCAGAATAAGATGAACAATTGAGTGTTGTACCTGCAGTAGTTGAGAATGGCCAGGTGAATCGTGTTGGTTAGAAAAGAAGTTCAGTGGTTGATACATGTTAGGATTGGTTTGCTCTTCCATCACCAGATTATCTTGTTGGTACATACACTGAACCACCTGATTCGCTTCAAAATTGTATAAACCCTGTGTTATGAACATGGAACGATCAAAACCGGCCACAAAGAAAAGAACTGAAAGAATCAAAACTTTACATATTTAATATCAGAGCAAAGCAAAGCAAACACGACAGTTGCATGTCATGGCATCTCTACCATGCCATAATTACAAATTGCAATAACATGCAAGCCGGGACTCACCTGCATAATGGGATTTGCTGTTGTCCCTTCAGGTGAAACATACAATGACGGACTTGAAATGCAGGAATCAGTGTTTTGTAGGGATGTATCTACATTCTGCATTCTTTTTGTACTAGAGAATTCACCATTCACATTTGTTAATTGACCTTTGTCAAAAACAGCCGTCTCTTTTTCCTTTGCTCCTTTTACTACATTGTCATCCTGATCTTCAATTGCATTTCCATCTGGAAAAATCACTGCACGTTCACTATCAGAAGCATTTGCGGTGCTACTTGAGGTGAAAGCTTGAGCATCCTGAGGTTTTAATGTCAAGATTTTCTCCACACCTTCCATCACTTCATCAAGTTGTCCAACAGCAAATTGAAATGCTTCCTCGGATTCAGAAGCCTTGGCTGATAACATAATAATTCGGCCGCACATATTTTTGTAACGGCTTGCCACAACAAGCTTAGGGTCATCCCTGATGGAGGGCACATCATTCTCTCTTGCACTCCCTAACCTTGCATCTTTTGTCCATCTCTTCAAGATATATTTGGAGGGGACAACCTTTATATTCATGTGATCAAGTACTTTAAGAGCATGGCTACATAGAAACCCTACAGAGTTAAATTTCTTACAGCTGCAAATAACTACGTCATCAGAAGAGTTGAATGTAACGGTGTGTTCTCTACTTTTACCAAATATGTTGGTTTTGTACTCAAACAACGGCCCATTCTCACTGCATTGGTTAACAACAATATTCAAACACTTCTCATATCCTCGCTGGAACACTTCAAATGCCCTTGGAGTGTAAACATCACTTGCATGCTTTAGTAAAATCACATTCCCCATTAGTCTTGGCATGCAGCGGTTCATTTCATCATTGGCTTCTATTTCTTTGTAACGTTGCTCATCTACCACCCTTTCAAAATACTTAACAAAATCAAGCACATCTATGTCAGAGTATAGGTAATTTCTCAAATCATGAAACAAACTTTCAACCAGATGTGAGCCTTTTCTGTCAACAAAAAAAGTATTCCTGCCGTATACCACAGCCCATTTCTCTCGTTCCCTAAACATCCATTTTAACCAGTCATTCTGCTGAAGACCATAATTATCCAGCATATTCCCCCAAGCATACACAAACCCATCCTCATCTTTTTGGTCATATATACAGCTCTTGAAATCATTGGCAAAAGATTCGGTATCTTTAACTATGTGGTTAAGGTGCTTGAGAGCATTCTGGCACATTTGCCATGTGCATATCCGATGGTCTGTTTCAGGTAAAACTGAATTGATTGCCTCAGCAATTGCTGCATCTTGATCGGTAAGAATGGCCTTTGGTTTCTTCCCAGACATAGACTCCAAAAAAGTTTGAAATAGCCACTTATAAGATTGAACAGTGTCATCATACAACAGTGCAGCAGAAAAGATGACTACCTGTTTATGATTATTTACTCCTACAAACTGTACAAATGGCAGGCAATTCTTGTCTGCTCTGCATACCGTGTCTAGACAAACCACATCCCCAAAATGGTCATAATCTGATACCATATTATCATCAGCCCAAAGTATGTTACTGACTTTATCATCAGTATCAACCTGTATTGCGTAAAAGAACGATGGGTTTTCAAAGTGCTGCCTTTGAAAGTAATGCAGCAAACGTCCCACCTCTCCTTCCTTCATATCTCGAGTCCTTTCAGATTGAAGATAATTTTCAAAATCTAAGGCAAAACTATCAACAGATTCCCTTACCCTATACCCTCTATTCATCGAGTCCAGTGCTGATTTTGACAATGATCCTAACTCTTTTACCGAGTCAGCATCAGCAGCTTCAGGAACAGTGCATTCTCTTTGTAGTGGTAATGCTTGAGCAATACTTAGATTTACATTACCATGATTGTGTTGTTCTGGTAATGCTTGAGCAATACTTGAATTTACATTGCCATGATTGTGTTGTTCTTCAAATTGTGTAACCCGATATTTACCATCAGGTTGACGGGTGATGATCATATGCGCCAAGCAACCAGTTCTTGTTTCCTTTCGATGTTTCTTTACATTAACATCTCTTTTGTCTTTCCGCCGATACCCCTCTTTAGAACAAGTGAACTTCCTAGATACCACCTGACCATGTACCTTACTCTTATTTACCCAGTCTTTCCTAACATTAAAACCCACCAACCTGGCATATTTATTGTAAGACTTGTAGGCATGTTCATCAGACTCGAACTCTGTACCAACTTCTAATACTGAATCTTTACTGTCTGCGCCTATGGAGGGAGGATTAGACTGAGTACCGTTGACATAGACAACTTTTGGGCTGCGGGAGTCCTGCTCTACATTCAAGTCCAACCTATTTGTTGCTTGGAGTCCGACATCCATGCTATCCTCATGAAGACTACCAAAATCATCATCCTCCCTTTCCATGGGCCTGCATTGTTACATGGATTAAACATTGAACATTGCAAAAACAAAAAAAATAAAAGTAAAAAGAAGAAAAATATTAATTTAATCTATGTCCAACAGAAACTGGCAAATATAGTTGATCAACCTCTTTCTTTCCTGACAACTAAATATGGATTGGATTGGTCCATTTTCACAATGATATATTGCTTCTGGTATGGCTTTAGCCTTACTGCATAATTTTGTTTGTAAGACAAGCAAATCAAGCAGATACAAAAATGTAAACTTTGACCATAAAAAATTGAGCTGCCTCCATAAGTATCAAATTGGTTCAAATTATTTCTCCATTTCTCCACTTGGATAATTATACTTCAGAAAGTATTCATACTTTGTTCTCCGGATAATGCATGAAGAAAGTCGTTAAATTTCTTTAAAACAGGGGACTTCATGAGAGTAAAACTACATTGGATAAATTGAAATATTACCTTGTACAATAGTGCTTTCTGGTGAACTTCAACTGACCACACCCAATTGCCTTCAGTTCACAGAAATAGCATTTACATATCGAAGGAGCAACAAGCTCAGTTTTTGACAGTGGCCCATCCAAATGTCCAATGCCCAATCCACGCTGCCCCGATATCACATCTGTAAGAGACTAAGGGTTTAGAAATTCAAAGTCCAAATTGCTCTTAGAGATGTAGCTGAAGGTCAGTACCAAATCTACTTACCCGAAGTCCACTTTCAGCCTGAAGCTTGAAGCAGTAGCCCTAATTCTCCGATTCCAATTTCGAATTTTACGACGAACTATGCAATTCGGTGAGATTTGAGCTCAGCTTGTAGTCATGAAGCTGCTTCTTTCTGTACCTGAGGAACAAAGAAGGAGCCTTTTTTTTTGGGTACAAGAACAGAGAGAGAATTATTGAGTCTTTGATAAATAAATAAATCAATAGTCGAGTCGAATGCCCATCTATTGTGAACTTGCAAGTTTTTTTATTTAAGAACATGCCTTAATGAAGCTAACAAAAACAAAAAGACCATGCTTTAGTGGGGCAGGCCCATTGTGAAGTTCATATGCCCTGCCCCATTAATAGTTTATCTTTACATGTTGTGTTGTGCGTTAGTGCGCTTAAAAATCCATAAGATAATTAATTTAAAAATTAAGAGAATGTAAATTTTTTTTAGTACAAGCAATTGAATTTACACAAATATTCATCGGGTATATAAGAGTTTCGAATCTCTACCCACATGAAAAGAGGTGAAAAAGTTCAACTAATCACTAATAGAGCCAAACCCCATAAAGCAAACTCCTCAAGCTTAACATTTATCATTTGTTTATCTTATTTCAATACACATCACTGTTTAGTAAAAATGTGAAGTCGTAGAGTGAAAAATTAGTCACCAAATATGAAGAGTGAAAAACAAAAATAAAAAATGTGATTTTTTTTTTTTTTTTTTTTTTTTTTTTTTTTGTTCTGGTGGGTATCATAATCATATAGTCATAGTCAATTCAAGAATGCATGATACGCATAGTGCGCATATTAGTACAAACAAACCGCGCCACTCGTATTAATATAAGAGGCCGAAATTTAAAGCGCCAATTTGAATTCTTCCAAAACGAAAATTAGTCCGTTGTCTCTCTCTCTCTCTCTCTCGCTCTCAAATTTTTAAACCAGAAATGCGAACTCGCTACCTCAACATCGACTACTTCACCGTCACTCCAATCCAAACCCTAGAAACCCTAACCTTCCTTCACCTCGCTCACTCTAACCTCTCCATCTCCTCTAATTCCTCAAAGTTTCGCTCCAAATCGAACAGTTACCGATCGAAACCGCTCTCTCCAAGTTCTTCTCCGACCTTCTTCCTCACAACATCGCTCTCGATGCTGCACACTTCGAGATCTTCGATTCGTCTCCGGCTTCTAGAAGTTTCGGTTCCGGAAGCCATGAGCTGCAGTTTTCGGAGGTTTGATGATTGTTCATAATGTTGTTAATTTTGAAATTGCCTGCAGCCTGTGGATGAAGCTTTCAATTATAGGATTGTCACGCTTATAGGTTCTTCTAATGAAAAACAGAGTATACGAGAATGATCATTCAATTGCTAATAAATTGATTGATTTTAGTTTCTGACAGTACTATTTAAGAAGTCAGAAAATTTATAAATCGTTTTTGTTTTTTGTTTCTCAATTTCTCATTGCTCATGCTACAAAATGTTGTTACGAGTACAAATTTTCCGCTACGTAGTGTCTTACTTGTACTCAAGGTTTCAGTTTGTTTCAGTTTGTTTAGTTGATAAAGCCCTTCCATTATGTGTTAAAACAGCTGCTTCAGCTGGAACATCAAATACATTGCGAAAAGAATCATGGATGTTAAGTACAAAGCAGACCAAAACAAATAGCAAAACAAAAGCTGCACTGCACCCCCCACAATGTAGCTCCCCTATAGTTGGCTTTGGCTACCAACTGGTTTCTTATCTGTGCTGAGAGGTTTCTATACGTTTTTTGTTTTTTGTTTTTCCCTTGAATGTTAATTTGGTAATGGGATGGGGTGTAAAAAAGGGAAGTGAGATTCGTGAGAAGCCCCTGCCCAATAATTATAATTGTAAAAAAGATGGATTCCGAATGGGTTAGTTAGTTATCTAGTAATTAGAAAGTCACTTTCCAGTCCCACCCAACAATTGAATTCCTCCAAAATCAGGAATTGATTTTGTGTGAGTCCCATTTATTTTTTAATTCTTTGATATGATATAAATCCTTCATAATTGGAATTTAATTCCTGATTCTAATTACAATTCCTGATTAGTAAACACACCCTCCCTACGTGAGTAATTATATGTTATTGGCCAACATTAGGTCAGTTTTATACGAGGGCAATTGCCTAAACCCTTCAGTTTCATACACTACTAAAAAATTCATCATTACTCTGTTGGAGTTTTGAGTTATGGATTCAGGTATGTTTTCTCATTCAAACAATTCTGTTTGCGTACTAAATTTTCTTTTGTAATTTTGAAGAGTGTTTTACCATAAAATCTCTGGTATGTATTGCAAGTTGTTGTTATGATATCCTAATGTTTTGTGTAAATCAAATTATATAAATCATTCAGAATATTCTGTTTTGTTGGAATAGAAATCATTCAGAATTAATCATGCATTATTTTGCTTACATGCTTATCCTTAATTAGACTGTTTTTGAATTGTATGCTTTCCTATCTTTTGACTAATGAAGGACGAAAATAAACAAGGGATGGGATCTACATTTTTGGGGTTTGAATTGTTGGAGTGTGGGTTGTTATATATTTGTTGTTTGCTGGTAGTCCTCTTATGTTGAATACCTTTTTGGCGTGTTTATTTGCGCTCTGGTTTAATGAATTCCAGTTATTGACCCAAAAAATGTATGGATTCAATAGTTTTTATTTGCTTTGTTCAGTGAATAAAAACTCCTTATTAATTTTGTATCTGTAATTTATAAATTTGTATAATTTATATATGTATTTTTTACTTTTGTTTTTCTATTTGTTTTTAATCTTCTCAGATGGGGCAAATTTGCCTGAGGAACTTTTGGATTCAATTTTGAGATTAGTGTTACAATCAGACTATATTCAGTTTAGTCGTGTTTGTATGTCATGGTATTGTGTAGCAAAATATATTAAAAGGCATCCTTCTCCAATGATTTTGATTCATACGCCCAAAAAAGATACATGGAATTTGTACAACGTCATGTTTGATAATGTTCTTGATTTGGAATTTAAATTGCCGAAGATGCGATTTTGTGGTTATGTAAAAGGATGGTTAATAGGTATGAATTTTAATTTGGTAGTGACCCTAATAAATCTGTCCTTTATGGTCAATGGGAGAAAAAAGAGAAACGAATCCTTCATCAATCTTCCTCCACTAGACAAAGGTAATCTTTGCGATGAAGGAACACTTGCCGAATTTGTCGTCAAGGCTACAATATCAGCCGATCCAATATTGGATGCCAACAATTGTATTGTTGTTGTCATTTATGAGGGATTATGTAAATTAGCTTTCATTAGACTCAATAAAGACACAACATGGACTTACCTTGATCCAAGGTTGGAATACATTGGTCAAAGCTTGGATAGGATTGAAGATGTTGTTCATGTTAAAGAGAAGATTTATGCTGTTAAAGGAGGGGGTCAACTTTTTTCTTTTGATATTATTACTCAATCCAAGCAACTGGTTGCAGAGGGCATGCGACATGATTTGGAGAAGGTATATCTTGTGGTTTTAAATGATAAAGAATTATGGAGGTTTTTTGCTTTTGGAGATGTGGCTCGTGTGACGAAAAAAGTTAGAATATACGAATTGGATTTTGATAAGCATGAGTGGGTTGAGAAAGAAACCTTGGGTGATATCGCTCTTTTTTTGGGCGATAACTTTTTAATTTCTGTCTTGGCTTTGAATTTTTTAGGATGTCGGTCGAATTGCATTTACTTTAACCATGATCATGATCGTTATTATGGTTATTTCACAAGCTGTTTGCATCATGATTTTGGCGTGTATGATGTTAAAAGTCAGAGCTTTTCACAGCCTTACGCCCCAAATATTACGGCTATTATGAAGATTTATGCCCCAAATATTATGGCTCTTATGAAGACGACCAAGAAACCTCCATATTGGGTTGTGCCAACCTTTGAATAGTAAACAATTAAAAAAGAAGTTATATTTGTTATTATTCTTTACCTAGCCTATCACTTATTTAAATCCCCTTTTGTATTCTATAAGTCTTTCAATTGTAAACAATAAAAAAGAAGTTATATTTCTTATTATTCTTTATTGTTTTGTAGTTCACTCACTGGCTTTTATTGGGTAGTTTTACAATTATCGGGGTATAACCAAGTTCCCCCCTTCTTCTTTTTTTCTTCTTTTACACAAAAGATTGTCAACCATGCTAATAAATATCGAGGTCTCCATTCTTATGACCCAATTTGAACATTTTCCTGGATCATTGGACGTTTTCCTAAAGAAGAAACGTTGAATAAATTATTTTTTTATTTGGAGATAACATAGTTAGTTTAAAGGTTTTTTTGGAAAATAGAAATTAGTGTAATTTTAGAAAGATGGAGAGTGTGAAGTATAGTTATCAGAAAGTTAATGGAGTTTAGTTTATTTACCAAAAACTTGTGACTTGTATGTTGGTTACTTGGTTATTTGCATCACATTGTAGATTAAGCTGGTAGATTTACAAAAAAAAATATATATTTTTCCAATCCGAATATTGAATTTATTTACTTTGGCTAAGGACATTATTAATATTTTTTTAAGGGGCTAAGAACATTATGTTATGAACTAGATGTTACATTATTATTTTTTTTGGGGTAGTGAAATCACTATAGGCGGTGCACTTGTCTAGACCCATTTTGCGTCAATTCTCTCTTTTAATTTCAGTGTTTTATAACAATTTAGATGTAATTTCTTAATAAATGTCTAAGCAATCGATGCCCCTCGATTTTTTGCACCTATACTCATATATTAGAGGAATAGGCATATATGCTCGTGTGTTGTTGATAACTTGATAGATCGATGCTATTTTATTATCTGAAAATCAGAAACCTCTGGTTTTCCACAAGCAGAAAACATTTTCCCATTTTATTCAATCACATCAACCTTTCTCTCTGATCTGATCCCCACAACATTGCTTCGTTACGGATCAGAGCACACATTTGAGGAAGGAAAAACAAACACAAAACACAACATAAGCCAAATGGTGAAACTTCAACATTATTCTCGCGGTAGCATTTGTAGTTGCACATCAGTTGGTATCTGTAAGTGAAAAAACAAAACCAAAAACAAAAAACCAATGTCTTAGTTCTTGTAATGTATGAAATTGAATTAAACATTACTTATGGAGCAAGAAACTGATAGACTAACCACAAGTGATGGGGGCGAGGTTGCACTGAGCGGGAAGGCGAGCGGCGACCCTGAGAGTGTTGCAGAGGCAGTCAGGATGGACGGCTTGGAGAGCACCACAGCAGTCAGAGCTTGGGTTGGTGTTGGTTGAGCCAGGCACCACAAATGGTGCACACACATTGAGGCTGCTCAGCTCAGTTGAGCAGCTGCTGCTGCTCTGTGCCTCAGCCCTCTGGGTCTCTGCTGCGGCAATCAACAGCACAAGCACAAGTGCAGCTTGGAAGCAGCTCAAAGAGTTGATAGCAGACTTGAAGGCTCCCATGGCTACTGGTACTCTTCCCTTTCTGTAAATTAATAGCTAATACTAATTATATGTTTTCTGTTTTCTGATTTGAGTGTGGATCATATATTGTAGGATATTGAAAGTCCATTTATAGTGAGGAATTTGGTGACAAGAGGTGGCTCCATGTATGAACTACCTAATTACTATTAGGTTAGACGAGACAATTTTCATGGGGATCAAAATCATGTAGATTTCATGCCCCATTTTTTTTCTTACCTTTTTTTTTAACTTCATGGCTAACTTTTTTTGGTGCAAAAACCATTATAAATTGAAAAGTTCTGGGATATAAAATCCCACTGCTAAATGAAAAGCACGACCCAACTATGTTTTCCCAATATTTCGTGCAAGTGAATCTAGTGAGACAAATTCAGATTTGGATAAAGCCCTTCCATTATGTGTTAAAACAGCTGCTTCAGCTGGAACATCAAATACATGGAGAAAAGAATCATGAATGTAAAGTACAAAGCAGACCAAAACAAATAGCTATTGCTAGGAAGATGCCTCTTCATCTTCAGGTGCAGCAGGAGCTGTCCAGTACTTTTTCACTGCAAATAGCAATTTTTCCCTCTCATGAGGACCGTCTTCATGGTCCACAATTTGACTATCCCACTCCATTGCATCAATGATGCTCTTGATCTTCACCAACATATCGACATCGTCTCGAATGATCACGCTCCCCTCCGGCCTAAGAATTCTGTCCATCTCCAGCAAAATGTCATCCATTTCGCATCTGCAACACAATTTGGACAAACATTTTGATACATGTTAATATTTTCAGTCACATCATCAAATGTGCTAGCTAGTCATAACAGTTTGTATTAGACTACGGTTTACCTATCCTCGTAGAGGGTAAACACTGAATCTGCATGAATGAGGTCATAAGTTCTTGGATATGTAGACATTGCCTCACACCTGGGAAATTAAAAAGAACAAGAAAAAAAGAAAGTTAATTTATGTGAACCACAAAGTCTCATGTATCAGTCACACCAAATATATGCCAAGAGTGTTACTGAATTTACCAATTCTGATATGTTCCAATCAATCCCCGTTCGTAGATGACTCCAAGTGTGTTGGCCTTGACATCGACAGGAACCACATTCATGACCCACACAGGCAGATCAACCAGGGCAGCAGCAAATCCACCCAAGTATGCATTCATATCCAAAAGGTTTCTGTACCTTCCAGGGTTCCCAAGCTGATTGTTCACCGATTTGTAATACGAAACTCTCTTCTTCCATATCTCTGAATCTTGTTTGAAAACTTCTGCCGTCACTCCCTTCACGGTTCCCTTATTAATTCTTGGTGGGATTGCATTAAGTCTCTGTGGCCATTTTGCCAATTTCCCACCTGCAACTTGTTCATTGTCTGAAACTTCTGGCAATGGGGTCAAACAAGTATCCAACTTTGTGTACCTGGAAACAGTTTAAGGAAAATAAATGTAATTAAGCAAATCAATAGCAGCTCAATTATAAAGCAAGCATGCATGATGATAGAAATATATATGAAGTCAGAGCACAAACCAGGCCTTATCAGGATCATTAGCAGGGCAGAAGTTGCGGCTCTTTCCAAGCTTGCGATTGTTTTGGCAAGTTAAATGGTTGGTGGGTTTTTGCCAAATTGCAATGTCATCCTTCTCCACCAACTTTTTCCAGCAAAGGCTCTTGGCTACATCCTCTATGGAAGTCTGCTCGGCATTCAAATCCTCTTTAGTTCTTTCCCAGCCCTTCCAGTATTTTTGCCAGCGGATTGGTGGGCCTGACAGAATCCAGTACCCGCCAGGGCGCAGAACTCTATCAACCTCAGTCAAGTAAACCCCATCTGCACCATCAAACCCAAATTGCATGAGAAATTAACAATTATTGGGTGTGCAAAGACAATTATTGGGTGTCCAGATGAAGTTTGAAGTTACAGTGGATACCATGTTGGCCCCAAGGAATGAGGCAGCGAGAGCAATGGGCCATATCAAAGGCCCTAGAAGGGTAAGGTAGTCTTTTCGACGCAATGACTCCGATGAGTGCGGGTACACCTCGCTCCAGAGCAAACTGGACTTGTGATACGTGTGTGTCTCTTGGCGCGAATGACATCGTGAGGATGTTTCGGGACAATAGGTAAGCTCCCCAACTGGCAACCTGCACGACATGAAAATAAGGAAATATATCACATGGCTGCCACGTGTCAAAGTCAACTAGGATGACTTTGCACGATCCCATCATATCCAATCAGATCGAAGTTTTTAGACTGATCTCATCTCACGCCATGCCCCCTTAGAAATTGTAATTGTCATAAATCTCAGATTTTGTGAAATTTCTTGCCAAAACAAAAAAGATATTTTATTTCAAATAATGTGGCGCCATCCTACTTCCAACTTTACCCTTCATGGTTGACCACACTACACTAACCCCCATACAATATGTCGACTTGATAGTTTGACTAAAAAGGGGGTAGAATTGTCATTTAGAATATATTTTTCTTCTCAATTTAGTGAAAAAAAAAGGACATAAAAGTAGTTTAGTTGTATCCATCAATCACCAACTAATCTCCATCTAAAACAATATTAAATCAAGATTGTCCAAAATGTTTAAAATACCCGAATAATAATAAATCACACCAAAATAAGTAATCACTGAATGCACGATGGGGGGTCAACCAAGAGTATTAATCACTAATTATTTTTTTTAGGAAAGACAGAATCTAAATTAATTAATAAAATAAACAAATATCGAAGCTGCAGCCAATTGTGTTGTGCTTACCCCACAGCCTGTATCAATGGCGGTCCGAATAGACCCGTCTTTGAGGTTGATCAATTTCCCGATATCGTCAATGTACGCGTCCGCACCATTAGGAAACATGGTGCCGCCGCCAGGGAATCTGAGCCGGTTCCGGTCGCCTTCGTAAATGATCCAATTCTGGACCGCCTTCTCCACCGTCAGCTCCTTGTGCGGCACATTGGCGTACCACGCCAGATCCCGGCTCATCGGCCACGAGAACACCGTCTTGTAGCCGTGCGGTGCCGGCACGCGGCATTTGAGCAGCTCGTTCTTCTCGGGACAATGCCTCTCTCTGTATATGAGCCTGTCACGATCGAATTTCAAAGACCTCTTCGCATCCTCGCACGGCGTGTACTCGCTGAACTTCAAGTCGCAGGGAGGGTAAGCTTTGGGTTCGACGGCGTGCGATGACGTGGCGGCGGTGAGGTTGGGGGTGTGGTGGGAGGAGAAATCTAGTGTTGGAGATTGTGTGGTTGATGTGGTGGTGATTTGATTGGAGGATTTGCATGGGAGTTTGAAGGTGGGCGTGGAGGTGCCGCCGTGTTGCCAGAGGCCGAAGAAGTAGGAGCAGATGCAGAGGAAGAGGAGGACGGGTAAGGTGTAGACGTTGGGTTTTTTCCAGGGAAAGAGAGAGGGCTTGGATGGCTTGGAGGTTGGGTGGTATGGACGGTCGTAGTTGGAAGCCATGGATTATGCTCGTTAAGTGTTTGATGATTTGTTGTTTGGAATTTAAAAGGGTTGAGAGAAGTGGGAGGGAGGAAGGGTTAGAGAAATAGGGTTGCAATGCAAGTTGGTGATGTCATGTGGGCGATGAGGTTTTTTGTATGGAAATTAATGGATCAGCCAGTGAAGGTTAATTTGATTGTTTGTTTTTCTATATAAAAGAAAGAAAAGGGATCTGCTCTCTGTTTCGGGGGGCAGGTTCTTCTAAGGCTCTTGCTTGAGGACAACGCTTCAATTACCATGTCCGTCCGTAATCTAGGTGGATCCTAAATGGCATTCAATTCCTACCTTGTCCATTGGGCATTGGGCTAGAAATATGCATGGAATTCCAAGTCCAAAGGGAGGCCCAACGAAAGCCACAACATTCCCTCATAATAGAATTTCGCCATATTCATATGTGCGGGGTGGGTCAAACTCAAACCCAATCAATTTCTTATACCACCGAGTGAAAAATTAAGTAAGAAAACACACCAAAGATCTGATAGTGCAGTTACACGTTTAGAAAATATATAAATTACTTAAGAACCACCGAGTGAAAAATTAAGAAAAAAGAGAACAAGCTTTTACAACGGAAATAAAAAAGTTGGCACAATCCAAATTGGGGGTCGATTCGTCAACTTCATCATGGTCAAAAAACATCTTTGTGAAATGCTTTGAGTTTTGATGTTGTACACACAAATATCGTTAGGTCCCCAAGTATTGAAATTCGTATACTCTGTTTTTCATTTGAACCAATAATTAAAAACCCGAACAGAGACTTGATGAATTTTTTAGGTCTTTTGAGTAGTGTATGTAGTATGAAATTGAAATAATGTTTGTAAAGGTAGCCCTTATATAGGCAATTGAAAATTATGAATACGATTTTCAAAGATGAAATTATGGATAGAAATTGAGGTGGCTTTTGGTATCGTAATCAACTATAGATAATAATAATTGATTTTCTTTTTTTCCTTTTTCCTGTGCTAAAAATGCAAGCTAGGAGGAAACCAAGATAATGTCAATCTAGAGAATTGGTCCTCCACCAGCAAAGCAAAGGCTCCTTAAAATGAAAAATCTTTGTTTACATAAAGACAGCGTTTGACTAACAGTGAGAAGTGCCGAACCGAATCAGTTGTTTGTTGTTCAGTCACATAGAGGTGACAGTGTTGTAGTAGGATGTGGTTGGGGTGGTGTCTAGTGGTTTAAGTAAACTAGTACAAGTCTAGTCGTTGGGATGTTATAACAAATCTAGTACAAGTCCACGAGTATTACTGAGCGTCTTGTTTGTTATTAATTGAGCGGAAGAATAAGTTTTCATGGCTGATTTGAGATACCTCTACTCTCGAATTGAATTTAGGCAACAAGCACAAATTATAAATATATGAACTAAAACTAAATTATATTGAGACATATCACAAAATATAATCAAGTTGATATCCCAAAATGAGGACAAATATTCGTCACATTTCAGAAAGGGAATTCCAAGTCCAAATGGAGGCCCAATCCAAAGCCACAACATTACATCATATCATATGTGCGGCTGTGCCAGAGTGGGTCAAACTCAAACCCAATCAATTTCTTATACCACCGAGTGACAAATTAAGAAGAAAAAAAAATCACCAAATATCTAATAGTGCAGTTACAAGTTTAGAAAATAAACAAATTACTTAAAGAACCACTGAGTGAAAATTTAAGGAAAAACAAAGAGAGAGGAGAACAAGTTCTCACAATGGAAATTAAAAAGTTGGTGCAATCCAAATTGGGGGTCGATTCATCAACTTCATCATGGTCATAGCATCTTTCGTAAAAGATTGTGAAATGCTCCGAGTTTTGATGTTGTATACACCGATATCATTAGGTCCCCAAGGCTTGAAATCCATTCTTATACGATAATTATCATGCGTGAAGTATATGCAATTCGGTTGACATCCATAATCGTTTGAAGCCACCACATATATTGAGGAATTATCACCCACAAAAATAGCAACATCACCCAAATTATTTGTCTCAATCCAGTCACCCTTCACGAAACTGAATTCGAAAACTTTGAATTCCATTGTCTCGCGTTTAGAGTCATCGTCCCATGTAGTATACCTCTCAACCATTAGAAAGTCTTTCTCATTTAAAGCCATGAGATATTTCTTCTCAGACGTTTGTTCCGTATTGTTAACCTTCGACTCCACATTGCATTTGAATTGATCAACACCGTCAAAAGATAATAGATTTCCCCACCTATCAACAGCATAAAATTTATCTCTAATTGGAACAACTTCTTGAATTAAGCTCCACCTTTGATCAACATAAGTCCATGCCGTGTCTTTGCCAGGTCTAATAAAAGCCAACCGGCAATACTCCTCATATATGACCACAACAATGTAATCATTTGCATTTAATATTGGGTCTGCTGAAATTGTAGCTTTGAAAACGAAATAGTTGGTTTTTGAAAACCAATGTCGACTTATAGGTTTAGGGTTTAGTGGAGGAAGACAAATGATCGAATTTTCCTTTTTTATCCTCCCTTTAACCCTAAAGAATGGATTTACTAGGGTTACTACAAGATCCTTATCCACAAATATTAACCACCCTTTTGAAGAACCACAAAATCGCTTATTCGGGATTTTTAGTTGCAAATTTAGGACCTTGTCTTCCTCGACGTTATACAAACTCCATGTACCTCTTTTTCTGGTCTGAAGCAAAAGCATTGGGGTTGTCATCTTAGCACGTCGACTTTTATTATGCTTTGCTACAGAATGCCATGATGCACAAACAATGTTGAATCGCAAATAGTCTGATAGTAACGTTAGTCTCTCTAAAATTGAATCTAAAAGATTTTGAGGTAAATTTGCCCAGTCTGAAAAGACAAAAGAGAAAACAAGTTCAATTAGAGCATAGTATTATGATGAACTTATTCTTGACCACATATTTATGAAATAACAATTCAAATAATCCATGTATAAATAATAATAAGAAATTAATTTTTTCAGTCGTGTTATTCACAACATAGAGGGTACCTATTTTGCAGCATATTTGACCGAAAGGCAAAAGAAGGACCTTTTCCCTGTTTGTATATAATTTGTGTATACCAAAAACTTGGCCTAGATTCAGTTGTATAATAAAGAATTTTTTTACTTTCTTTTCCTTTTTCTAATACACGTTTTTATTTCAAGTAATTTTCTTCAAGATGCATAGGAGTTACGGATTTGATGGCAATATTAATATATCCAAGTTATGTAAAATTAAAGATAATTTGAGCAAATAATAGCATGAGATGTCATGAATCTAAATGAATTATGCAAAATCGAGATCAAGTTTGAACAGTTGATCTCAAAAACATGTACACAACTTGACTTATGCAAAATAACAAAAGCTGCCAAAGATTTGACATGACCACAATAGTTTGTTTGCCTTCTAAGAAAACGTACCTGAAGCCATACTTTCAACCCCAAAACAAGATGCTAATTGTAGTAATGTTGTTTTGGTGACAAAGCCCGCCCAGAAGAAGAAGACTCAAGGTTGCAGGTAAAATTGACTAATAAAAAAACAACCTCACCCGTCAGTTTTATACACAATTCCTTCTTTCCTATAATAACCCAATTTTCAAACCCTACTACGAATGGGTAAGTTTTTTTTTGGCAGTACGAATGGGTAAGTTTGTGTTTCTTAGCCCTTTCTCCTTTGCATTGGTCTGGCATTGAAGGCCCAAAAGAAAACGCATAAATGAGTAACCCAATCAAATTCTGAGTCGAAATTGACTCTCACATCTGGAAGAAATAAATCTTCCTAACAAATAGAAATCAATTGTGATAAGTTTTTATGTTCGATTGATCATAATCTAATTAACATTTTTTCACGACAAAGAGGCATTCCAATATATAAGTCCATGGAGACTGGAATATCATGACATTGGATTTTTAGACATTTGGTTAGCTATGATCTTTTCCAGATCACTTTCTTATACACACAACACAAATTGAAACTAGGGATAGAAACTAGGAAACTGGTGTAAAATTATTAATTACCCATTTAGTTGAGCAAAAATTGAATATCAAATCATGACACAAGTTTGGTAGGTTTTGATGAAGGCATATTGAAGTGTATTTTTACTTATGCATTTAATTGTCCTAATTTCTGATTTTGCACAATAATTTTTTTTGTTGTTGCATTTTTCTGGAAAATTGGTGCACCTAATTTCCTGGAATAGTATGTTTGTAGTTTTCATTGAGTGGACCATGTGGCTTTTTTTTACATTTTTCGTTTGAAATGAAGCTGTGAGTTGCACATCCATTTAGTGCTTAGTTATGACTCTCAGCAGGTCTCTCTCTATATCACATTAGTTGTTTCATATCTCTTGCCTATAAACAGAGGCATAGTGAGACTAATTCAAACACAGAGAGAGAGAGAGAGGCAAAGGCAGAGAGAGAGAGAGAGAGAGAGGCAGAGAGAGAGAGAGGCAAAGGCTGAGAAAGAGGTGAAGAACATATATATATTTTTTGTTTCTTACAAACTCTCTTTTCATTTCATTTTGACTGAAACATTTCTTTGTTTTTCATGTTCACAGATATGGAGTCCTGTAAGCTTGTGTGTTACCTCTGTAAGGACAAGTTCTGTTTTATGAATGGCCTGCTGGAGCACGCAAAAGCCGTTCATCGTGAAATATATGAGAGGAAATTTGAGTGCAAAAGCTGCAAAAAAATCTTCTTCAACAAAATGGACAAGAATCAGCACAAATGTTAGCCAGCTGGCATGAGATGGGTGCGTATTCGTCGTTTAAGTTTGTCTTAGGTTGATAGTTTATTCTGGTGGGATATAAGATAATGGCAGAGAGGTGGTGGTGTTGTAGGGTGTGGGGTGTGGTTGGGGTGGTGTTCTAGTGGTTTAAGTAAAGTAGTATAAATGGTTGGGATGTGTTAACATTGATTGTATTGTTTGTTCATGGGAGCTTCAATACTGCCCTCCAAGTAAATGGTTCAGCATGACCGAATTTATCAGAACTGAAACATAATATTTATGGTTATCTGTTTGTGTTTGTGTTTGTGTTTGTGTTTGTGTTTGTGTGCGTGCATGTATCGAATTGAAACTGGACAATTTGTTTCTAGTTTACTTCTTTTGATCTATAATATACCCATTACTTAAAACTCTTGAATTAAAAATTCAAGCATACCACCCATGTTCGATTTTTGAACTCACACTAGAAAATTACAAACCAAAAGAATCAAAACCCAGAAAGGCAAAGAAAAAGTATAATCTGATCGAGCTTCCGAGGCATGGAGTCAATGTAGTCCCTCGCAGAGCGAAAGGCAAAGGGATGGTGCTCTTGTTGCTCTACAATTAATATCAGCCTTCTTCTTCGTCTGTCTTAATTAAACATTAAACTGCTCTGCTCCAAAGCCGAAAATACGACAGCACCATTGACTGCTCTGCTCTGTATTACTGGGATGATGCTTTAAATTGTTTACTTTTTTTTCTATAATAAGGAAGTTATTGAAAAAGACCTATTCTAGAGCAACAAGAACGCAAACAAGAACAAGAGTTTGAAGCTAAAGAGCACCAGTGAATCAGTGATGAGTGAAGTGACCACGAATGTTCAAGGTTAGGTTAGGACCATATTAATTCTACATCTTCCATCCTCATCATTTCTCACATAGTTTCAGTGAAATTTGATACCATTATTTCCACTCTAAAAATCTTAGCTTACACTTGTTCACGTATTCACATATTCAGTTCATCCTTATTCCTTATGCATGAGAGAAATAGTATGTACAGATTTGGGTAAAAACTGGACACTTCATCAAATCCCAAACCAACTTATTGATGCATTGCACTTTTAAGAAACTTGAATCACTGCCAGATTTTTGTATGCATAATCTAGTCATTTGTATACTGATCATATTTCCACAAAGGTTTTGTATATGTCTTTAATCAAATTATATCGATTTTACTTGTATAGTTGCGGAAAATATAAAAACACCAAATATCTAAAAGTGCAGTTACAAGTTTACAAAATAAACAAATTACTTAAGAACCACTGACTGAAAAATTAAGGAAAAAAAAAGAGAGAAGAGAACAAGCTTTCACAACGGAAATTGAAATTTTTGGCACAATCCAAATTCGGGGTCGATTAGTCAACTTTATTATGGTCATAGCATCTTCTGAAAAATCGTTTTTCCTGCAATTTTAATTGCAAATCAAGGAAATTGTCATCCATCATGTTGTATAAATTCCATGTACCTTTTTTGGCAGTGTGAATCAAAAGCATGAGAAAAGGATGTCTTTGATTATCTTTTGCTACACAATACCATGACATACAAATAACACTAAACCTATATAGTTTGATGGTGACACTAATCTCTTTAAAATTGAGTACAAAAGGTCGTTAGGCATATTTGCCCAATCCGAGAAGATGAAAAAGAAATTAAATTAGAGAGATCATATTTATGTAAAATACATATTTTATAGTGGACGAATTGTAACACCGCGTAATACCAAACAATATCAGCCCCTAAATACGTGGAAATACCAAACAATTCAAATTTTATCTGCGCCACTCTCGTTTCTTTTTCCTTTCCTCATTCCCATCTAGCTTTTGTCAGAGAAATTAGCTAATTAACAATTCATTGCCATTGTATCTCACTAAAAAAATCACTTGTCCATGGTCTTTGTGACAAATCAAAATGTAATTAGTGTTTTTTCACGACAAAATCCTTTTGCAATTATGGCTAGATCCACTCGTGCAGCTTATTATGAGAGCGAGAGCCAGTCAAATATATAAGTCCATGGAGATGGAAGTAACCTGACATCTGAATTTTGAAGGATTTGGTTAGTCATCATGATATATATATATATATATATATATATAATATGTTTTCAGTTTTTACTGACTGGTATTTGACTAATGTAAACCAATTTCACTTTGAATGGGCAGCAAGTGCTTTGCAGCTGGGAGAAACGGAGTATTTTCCTCTGTAAATAAATTCTGCATGAAACGGTGGTGATGGGAAATAATATGCAAACTGCCTATTCAGATGAAGACCAAGTGTTTAACACGTACGTTTATGGTGAACACAACACTCCCATGGCCATATGGCCTCCTCCTCCAAATCAGGTACTTCATCAAAATAAAATAAAAATAGAGATGAAAAAGATTATCGGTATATGCTGCTGCTGCTGATTATATATGTATACGATATACAGGAGGTACCAATTGTTGCTTTTCAGAACGATGAAGCTCTGGCTATAGCCCTGCATTTGGAGGAAATGGGGGATGACTTTCAGAATTTGTCCATGGAAGAAGCACCCCGTTGGGTAATATTAATCACTTTATTTTCTCTTAATTAGGATGCTCTTCTTTTCTATAGATAATAATAATTGGTTTTCTTTTTTCTTTTTTCCTGTGCTAAAAATGCAGGCTGGAAACCAAGATAATGTGGATCCAGATGGGATGAGTTATGAGGTAGGTCCTCCACCAGCGAACAGGGCCGGCCTCCTTATGAAAATCTATATATATATATATGTAGTGTTAACGTTATAATGTATATGTGTCACTGGCAGGAATTGCGGAGATTAGAAGAATCTAGTGGCAGTGTAAGCAAAGGGCTACCAAAAGACGTTATTTCCCGGTTACCATCTCATAAGTACAAGCCACCACCAAAGAAAAAGGGAAAATCTACAGATGAAAATACAGAGTAAGAGTTTCTAATTCATGTCATGTGTTTTAATGTATATGCAGAAATACATACAAAAATAATAATAGATGGTGTTTGTGTTGGTTGAATAATGAATATATTATATAAAGCTGCGCAATATGTCTGATGGAGTATAAAAAGGGAGACCTGCTCACCCCTTTGCCCTGCTTGCATCAGTATCATGAGAAATGCATCAAAACATGGTTGGCAAACGAGAAGGTGTTTTTCTTTTTCCAATCTCTTTAATTTCATGCTTCTTCTGTCTGTCCTTTGTTATATAACTAATATTCTCTCTTTTAAAGGCTTGCTGCATCTGCAAAAGGGAGGTAAGCCTTGACTAGACCCATGGATGCTTGCCTTGCATGGAGGAAATTACAGTCGCTGCCCGCCCCAAAAACATTTATTTTTCAAACTTTTTTTTATAATTTTTTGTGCTCTGAACTTTAGATTAAATCCATTATATATTTGTACTCATCATATCAATAAAAGTTTTTATATTTCGATAAATAAAAAGCGTACATAGAATACACACGCCTAGTGAAATAGAATTGGAATCATCACGAGATGAGCGGAGCCACTCATGGATCAGCAGTGGCCCTGTCGCCCCAAAGCTTCAAACACATGTATAATAACATGCCATTGCTATACATAATGCAAGAAAACTCTCATATTTACATGAGTGGCCTCTTCAAATATATATATATGGTATGTGAAATTTGTTAAACTTAGTGTAAAAATCAATCCAACTAAAGCTCTCCAAATTTGAAATTCTAACTCCACTCTTGAGAATCATGTGCGTGATGTCAAATACCAATCCTCATCATATATATATATATAGGGGGACATTATAGATTAGGCGGCAAAGACTTTCTTATAATTCTCTTTTTTCAACTGATTTCAAGACCTAATTTCTTTCTTTCTTGCTCTCTCTATCCAAATCATTTTTAGAAATTAGGATTAGGATCCCATATGAATGAATGGATGGTCTGTATTTTGTCCTGATGCTGACTCAGCGCCAAATCGTACCTAGCTAGGTGAGACTGCTTACTACTCATATAAACATGATTCATGTGAACAAGTGGATGATGTCCTCACTTGCTATATTAAACTCTCTTTTTCTTTTTCTTTTTTATTAATTAAATTAATGTCTCTTATAGTTATAGCTAGTTTATTTCTGTAATCCATGCTTGTTGGTTGCTTTATGATTTCTTTATCTGTAGAGCCTTGAAACACAATTAATTTGACAGAGCATGAGGGAGGGACCAAGCAGTCCCTACCTTTTGGAAACAAATTTATATTAATTCATGTGTTTAGCACACTACTAGAAATTTTAATAAAGTTTCCTAACTCAACGATTCATTTAAAAGAAAGGGGCCCCTGGCTTTCCTTTGACTTTGGATCTCCTTAACCTAACATTATTATACGAACATAATTTCTTCAAAGCATGTGGTTGGATTTGATTTAAATTCACACATTTTACCAATTTTATTTTCATAGCACAAGGGCCAAAACACAAGTCTTCACAGTTGGTACAGAAATGCAAATTAATCAAGCACAATCATTCAAAGGTCGAAAAGCATAAAAATCTTTACCCATGTGGAAAACATTTGCTACCTCTCTCTCTCTCTCTCTCTCTCTCTCTCTCTCTCTCTAGGTGTCCATAAAATTAATTATCACATAACATGCAGATTAGTCATTGGCATGGGCATTAATAAAAGGAATCAATGGAGTTTAATCATTTTGTTAATGGTACGTGAAAACCACACTGGGCCACACGAGGAGAAAGTAGGGCAGATAAAACATGAGACGTACTTTAATTTAATTTAGGCCATGTGCAACCGTGACTGCTAAACAGTTTTTGCTGCAAACTTCTTAATTAACAACTAAAAATCTCATTAGGGCATTTTGTGGATTCTAATTTATAATAATAATACAAAGGTTACCCAAGCCAATCAATATTAATCCCAAATATTTCCATTATATCCAGATAGTCCCACTACAGTTTTGTCACATATATTCTCAACAACACTCGGACTTCGGTTCTAAAAATCATTTTTAACTCATACTTTGTTTTTCCTTGGTGTATTAGTATTTGGTGCTGTCGAAGTCTCTCATCTATATGAATGAATCTGATGCTCCACTACCATGCACTAGGCTATGTTTCTATACACGCCCCCTATAAATATATATATCTACTAGAATATAACATATAATAATTCCCAATTTGTGACAAAAAGATTTATATTCCTATTAATTCCATGCACTCTATCTCATACTTTTGCTGAAAACTCACAGGTTGCCTAATGCCCATGCCAATGACTTTCCCTCCTCCTTATACATGAAGAAAATGGTAGGGACTGCTCAAAAATCAGCAATCTCATCGCCTCCCCTTCCTCCTCCTCGTCATCAAATATATCCTCTATCACCTCCTCCTCTACCTTTGAATCAAACTACTCTATATACCATACTCATAAATTTGGTTGTACATGGGGACCGGTTTCTCTTTCTTTCTGAGGGAAACCAGTACTGGATTATTAGGTTCTTCTTCTCCTCCAGCAAAACCTGGTCTTGGAGACTTACCAGAGAGTTGTATCTCATCCATCTTTATGTACTTGGATCCGCTGGAGATTTGTAAATTGGCACAGATGAACAGGGCTTTCCGTGCTGCTTCTTTGGCTGATTTTGTTTGGGAGTCAAAGCTGCCATCAAACTATAAGTTTCTTGTCGACAAAGTTCTTGATCATGAAAATTTTCCCAAGAAAGAGATTTACGCTAGGTTGTGCCAGCCCAATCGTTTTGATGGTGGCACCAAGGTACCCCCAAAAGCCATTTTACTTTTATTTTTAAACTTGTTGATGTATGTAATTTATGTAATAACATTGCTGGTTTGTTTTCCTTACAGGAAGTTAGGCTGGACAAGAGTTGTGGGCAAGTTTTCTTGTCCATTTCGTCCAAGGCATTGCGAATAACAGGAATAGATGATCGAAGATATTGGAGTCATATTCCAACTGAGGAAACAAGGTACCTAGCTAGCTACTCATCACAGTTTCAATTGGACCACAGAGATTAATTCAACTCCCAGACTCTGTAAGAATTAGCATAAACACCTAATAATAATGACTATATATGAAATGAACCTTAATTATATGTGTAATTAATAATAAGTAACACGGGTTTTTGTTTTCTGATATGTGTAATATATAGATTCCACACAGTTGCATATCTTCAACAGATTTGGTGGGTTGAAGCTCTAGGTGAACTAGAATTTGAGTTTTCCCCAGGGAGCTATAGCCTATACTTCCGGCTTCAGCTAGGCAAAACCTGTCCAAAAAGATTTGGCCGACGAGTATGCAACGTCGATCAAGTCCATGGCTGGCACATCAAGCCCGTCCGCTTCCAGTTATCAACATCAGACGGCCAGCACGCTTTATCAGAATGTTATTTGCATCAACAAGGCAGTTGGGTTCATTACCACGTGGGTGATTTTGTTGTCATCGACAACCACAAGCCTATGAAGATCAAATTTTCGATGGTCCAGATTGATTGTACACACACCAAAGGCGGTCTCAGCTTCGACTCTGTGTTAATATACCCAAGCAAGTTTAGGGAAAAGTTAATATGTAGGTAGATGGATGGTCTATGTAGATCGCTAGGGTAGGGTAACATGTGTAAATAATATAAGCACTTGAAATGAAGAGAGGACTGAGGAGGAGGAGGAGGCAGCTCTAACCGAAAGCTTGCAATTTGCTGGGTTTGGAATCTTAAAATAGTGAGTGGTGGGTGGGTCAGAATCAGATGTATGTTTACATTTGAAGCAAAGTAATGTCATGTGCATGTCTTTTCCATTTTCGTTTGTCTTTCAATGCGAATGGGGTTCTTCAAAACAACACGAGAGAATAAAGTTTGATTGCCGTTAAGAACCCATCTTTGCAATGAGACTACGGGATAAACAGAACCATATTTGTTTGTATTCTAATCCATCCAATTATATTCTAAACACGGGTTACAGAGATCAAATTGATGATTCCAAGACGGGGTTACCGGGTTGAAATCACCATGTTCGTCCAGCTAAACTAAATGCAAAAGATATGCAGAAACACGGGAGTGAAATATGTGAATATCATATTACTGGGAAACAAAAGCTGTTCTCAGAGTTTTTTATCCAGTAGATTACACTTGCAAGACATGGAGACAGAAAACCCTCAGGAAAAAAAAACACTAAACTCCTACCGAACTGAACTACTCAAGTACAAATGCGCGATGTCACAACAAATTCCATACTGAGACAAAAGAGAAAAAATAGAAGGGAGTAAAACAGCTATTTTAAATTGTCCTGTACAAAGATATATGCTGGCCACATACCCAATGGGAGCCAATTAGGCCAAATTATGTTAGTCACGCCTTCCAGCCATAGCCCATATTATCGTCTAGATCGCTGTTAAAAAAACCGTTTTCTGTGAATTCATGGGCGATGTCCGATACCATATCCTCCTGCAAGTGAAGGTTTGAGGGTAAATCAGATGCTCTCTGGTTGTATGCATTGTTACCACCACCTGCCGAAGAGTCACTGTTTGCAGCAGCTTTGAAGCTATTACTCCTGCTTGGCGCAGGGCCATGACCTCCGGAGACATTGGAGGTGGCTGGAGTTGCCGCTGGATTGTTGCCTCCAAAACTCAATCCACTCCTTCCCACACTCCCATTTGCATTTGGACCAGAAAGAGATTGTTGTCCACCTCCCCCACTGTTATTGGACATCTCCTGTAGCAGTTGCTGGATCACCTGTTGCTGCAAGGCCTGGTTTCCTTGGGAGCTAGGTGAATGGTTTTGTGGTAGCAAGCTATTAGAACTTAGTGAGCGCTGCTGCATCTGGTGCGGCTGTCGCGAGGGTAAATGGGGACTTGACAAACCACTACCGGGTAAGTTCTGCATGGATCCAGGGATTAAAGCAGAAGCACCTTGGAATGTTGACGATGGGCTATGGTTGGAATTATTGAAGGAAGAAGATGCCTCCTGTTGAAGAGAGTTCGCATTTGAATTCATTGAGTTCTGCCTCAAGAGCAGATTCTGGTAAGTAGTCAGTTGCAAAGCAGCTTGTGCTGAACCACTCATAGCTCCCCGATTGACCATGTGATGGTTATTATTGATTTGGTTATTCATCCCAGGATGCAATGCCATTAGCTTATTGAGAGTGTTCCTGTCAGTGGGCATACCCTGAGCACTTGCTAACTGCTCCATTTCCTGCATCTTTTGCATCTGGAGCTTGGCTGCAGTGGCATGCCGAGGATAGACCTTCAAGCCCTCTGCAATTGTCAACATAAGATCAAAGTAAACAAATCATTATAAATACAACAGTCATAATAGTTCTTTCTAGCCAGATCATTTAATATGCAACTCAACCAATCAACAAACAGACATACTAAACTCCACAAAAATAAATACCACAACAATAAACCCCTATAAATGGGGTCAGCAGTGCCAAATTCTTCATTGCATGAAATTTGTTGACTTTAATGAAATATAAAGGCCAAACTGAAACAAAGAAACAATGGAGAAACTACTTCCTACAGGAAGGGATAGGACAGCTGCGGTGACAAGGGACGAAGTCAAAGGTCAAATCTACTATATCCTCAAGACTTGCTTCAAATCTCCATTAAGTCAAAATCTATATCCTCAAGACTTGCTTCAAATCTCTATTAATTTAATATAAACCTCAAGAATCATACAGGTTTAGCTGGAAATTGAAGGACATCTTCATTCCACGAGATGATGCTTAACCCAAGGAATGACTCAATAAAGCTCAAACACTAGCAAGTACGTATCAGTTGTATAATCATGCCATGGTTTGGTTAAGAAGTTGTCTAAGATAGCACTGGCACAGAATTAATCCCAGAAAACAGTACCAAGAACATGATTGACCATCCATGCAAAGCAGCAGCAGAGAGTTACAAAATGACAATGGAAAAACAGGAAATTACCGATAGGCCCAACTTTGTTCTCCCTGCAGAAGTCAATCAAGTCTTTCATGCTATTGACAACCTCTGAGATCTGTTAAAAGTTAGCAGTCAGCAACTAAAATAAAACTCGGAATAAAAAAATTTAACCGAAGTGTACTTCTTAAATTCAAACACATGTCCATAAATTCAATAGCATATACCTGCAAACACCTCACATATCTTTTAGAAAAACCCAAATCATTCAATGACTGCAACTCCAAACTCTTTGCAAGCTGCCGCCCAGCTGTCAGTACCCTGAAGAAAGCAATAAACATCAGTGCAACCCTACTTTGGAGAGGATTTAAAGTCAAATACCCAACTGCTCAACAAAAGCAGCTCACTGATGCCTTCATAAACTCACATATTGCTGTTTGTCTGTAGATCCTGCTGAGATATCCCATCAGATCCACTTTCAGCAATTGTGCTTTGGCATTTCTGAGCAACTTGAACCAACTGATTCACCTGGAGAAAAGAAAGCTTCATAAGTTGGAGTCATAAAGTCTGTACCCAATCTTATATATTTTTATTTTCTGCTAACAAATATTTCTATTTCATTATATTTGAACCACTGACCAAAACATAAAGCTATTAGAAAAGGTTCTCAGCCGTACAAGTATAATCAAGCTCAGTGGAAAACAATCATACCAAGAAATTACACCGGTATTACCATTTTATAGTGGCTTATGACATTCCCATGAAAGCTTTTGACAGAAAAAGGCCAGATTTATTACTCTCTTGAGTGTTAGCAAATTTTTTTCTAGGTTCTAGAATTGCACATTTCACATAACAAACGAGCTAAATCACTGAATATCGTTCAGTCACTGTATTCCACAATTACCAAAACTCAAAACAAAACGGTACAAATCAAAATTAATGATAAGAAAGGGCATTGTGCTATTTGCTTATACATACATCCAGTAAAATGCATGGGTCAACCAAATAAAAGCAAAACTTAACAAGAGACACAAAACAGTACCTGCGGTGCAACCAGCCTACGAGGAAGAAGTTCTTCATGGCGCCGTGCACAGAATTCCCAAGACAATATCTGAAAACGCATAAAGTAGAAAGTTAGAAGCATACCAAGAAATAAACACCAACAACCAAATGAAGAATTTTTACCTACCTTTAAATCTTGCGTAAAAATTATACGAAGCTGACCCTCCCGAACAACACGAAGTTGCTCGTATACACTCTCTTGAACTGCTTTCCCATACTCCAACATCATTACACCAGAAGGAAATCTACATTCACGTGGCAAGTCCAAAAACAAAAGTTCATCGATGACTCCACTACCAAATTTGATCTCATTAAGTCTAGGGAGCACTTCAAAGGTTGCCTCTGTAACCATGTCCATGAAACTAATTAGTTAGATTCAACATCATAAATATAAATATTTCAACCATTTCGAAGAGGTAATGCCATATGATATCCTTAAGCATATCTAACTTACTTGTGAACAAAAGTTAAACCATGAGGAAAAAAGAGAGAAAAATAATACAGATTGTAAGGAGGACTAGATAGTAGAAGCTTAAATAAATAAAACGAGTGTACTCTTTGACTTTGATGTATCCATCCAAGCAAAAAGCACAAGACTGGTGCAAGAAGCACCGTAAGAAAAATAAGGAGAAAAAACCCTTGCTTACCAAAACCCCTTCCAGATTTAGAACCGCAAATGTCGCATTGCCACGCATCCTGGCCAAAAAAGGAAGAAAAGATTCACATGTGAGAACCACAAACGCATATTCAAGAAGGGCAGATAACAAAAAGACAAATTAAAAGGAAATTCAACGTACGAAGATTCAATTATAATGGAAGAATTAACCAACACATAAACTAACCATAGCAGCCTGAGGGAAAACGCCAAGTGCATGATGCCCAACATTATCATATAATGACAAACACCATCTTTTCTTAGCACGAGGCGAGTAATACTCTGTCACAAACTTCCTCCAATAGGCAATACTATTGTCCTGTAAAAAATTTAAATTCACACATAATTTGATAAACGTTACTCATGGAATTACCTCAAGTGAACAGAAAAGTAAACGTTGCGATTTGGAATTTTAGATACACTATGAACAAGAATGTGTGAATAAGATATTATTAGGAAAGGGAATGCATATATGAAGGAAAAAAAACATCTGAAAGGGAACCGGTCAAAAAAATTGCCAAATGAAATGAAACAAACAAGGAACTCACAGAAGGCCGTTGCCGCTGATGATATAGATATTGCATCAGTCTACGAGCACAAACGCCACCATCATAGGGGCGCTTAACGGAAGATACTGGCTGCAAAGATTGTTGTTGAAGTTGTCTCAACTGCAACTGATGTTGTTGTTGTTGTTGTTGTTGCTGCTGCTGCTGCTGCTGCAACTGGGCTCTCTGCAGTTGAGGCATAGACTGCAAAATCTGATGCTGTTGCCGCAATCTCTGCTGCTGAAGCAAGACTTGTATTTGTGGATTTCGGCCTTGGAACTGCATGGGATCCTGCCTTTGCAGTAGCTGCTGTAACACCTGCTGCTGCAACATATCCTCCTGCTTGATATCCAACCGGGGTTTTTTCTGGACGTGAGCCAAATTATTTGGATCCTGAATAAAAGCTCCAGGTACTCGCGCCCCCATGGGAAGGGAAACCTGGCCAGTTTGAGACGTGGCTAATGAAGTAGCACTAGAAGCCCCTTGCTGCCGCGGGTGCTGGTGCTGCTGATTCTGCTGGATTTGTTGAGAGTTGTGATCATGCTGAGAATTTTGTTGCACTACGGAAGACCCATCCATAATTGATGACCCTGACATGCTAATGTTGTTGGATGAGAACGACATGGGTGAGGCTGGTAAGCGTAAGTATGACTCTGTATTGATGCTTGCACTTCTCTGCAAATGGGGACCGCCTGAAAGTACAGAGTTCGCATCTGTGACCAAAGAACTTGCCCCAACACTTGGACCTGAGTTTGCCACACCGCTCAAAACTGCATTATTCATGTCCCCAGAAACCGGACCCAGATTTGAACGCCCAGTTCCAGGAATGGAATTAGAAGAGTTCCCGAAAGATGAGCTCAAGTGAGAGTTAACTACAAGCTGAGACTGCCCATCCCCTTGGAAGAAAATTCCAGAACTTGATGAAGATTGCGCTAATCCTCCAGCCACCCGAGAAGGCACCATAGGAGGCACCGCCCTTTGGTGGCCAGAGTCTAAGTAGCTCTCCAGAGCCAGGCCTGACTTAGTATTTTTACAATAATTAATATGCTCAACCCACTCAATCAAAAACAGAACAAATAAATATTCTTCTAAAAAAAACAAAAGCTCACAAATATATTACGGGCGGTGTCACCAGTACAAATACAGACAATTTCAGTATCCCCACCTCACTGTGTCACTAATATCCCCAATTATTCGATAAATATGCGACCAAATTGGTGCACAATATTTATATTCTGTATGAGCTTTCAACAATTTCTCATGGGGATCTAAGATAAACAAGAGGAAACAACACTATCAGCAGTAGAACGAGAAAATTAAAAACAGAAACTAAACTAAATTCCAAACTAATATTAACCAGATAAGTAAAGTAAAGACTAACAACTATCAAAGAAATAGACCCAAACCCAAGCCCTGGGGTTCGAAAGTGTTAATCTTCTAGTTAGCCCCACAAAACCCTAATTTTTAACCGAGCTACCCATTAGACAATGTCATAAGCTTATGAGCCGTGAAGCCATCATTTATAGAGGATCTAAACGCAACTCAGTTCAACTGAACCGAAAATTTTGAAATAAAAATAAAAATAAAGGAAGGGAGACGGGTTTAGCTCAATTTTTATCAAAGAGACTGAGAATCATAGACAAAGATCGAACCCAAAGTAGCTCGATTTGAAGAAGAAACTATAACTATAACAATCCGCAAACAAAATAACACTAGCAGAAGTCTTAATTAAGCAGAAGAAGAAGAAGATCGAAACGCAGCAATGAAATTTGAAAGACAGCTAACAAAGAAAAAGAGTGAGCTTTTTGCAGTCCAGAGATCGATCAGAGCATAATATAATTAACCAACACGATTAATTAACTGGTGGGAAAAAAATTGGAGCAAACATTTTAAAAGAAACAGAATTAGATAAATGTACGGCCGCTACTGACCTCAGAAATCGGGAGCTGTAAAAAGCGAAACGTTTCCTTTTCTCGCTTAATTTGGAAAACCGAAATTTGCAGAGAGCAATAGAGAGAGAGAGAGAGACGGAGAGAAATAAAGAGTCGAAGGACTCTGGTTATATACCTAGCGGGAATTGGAGGAGGAGTGACCGGCTGCATCGGTACCCCTCTGCCCTATATCACCGGCACGTGTCCTGTTTTCGGTAGAAGAAAGAAGTCGGTGATAGATCGCGCGATGGCGACCCGAGGGCTAGGACAACGTGGCGCAATGTTATTTGTTCATCTCTAGGTTACCTATGATGGGCAGTGAGGATAATACCTGGATTAGCCTGTAAGAGAATCGATTGGGTGCATCCAGTTCTATGCGAGTAGGTCTAGAGTCTTACCCTTCTCGGTACCCAAAACGAGGATAAATATGACATTTTGCAAGGGTATTATAGTACTTTGAAGAAAAAGCGTACAGGTGGGCCTACTGTATTGGGTGTCTCATATCCCTTTATAATGACCGAGTTTGGGTTTGGGATTAAGATTTTAGAACACCGTATAGGGTCGTTAAAGGATAGAGAGAGACCGTCGGATTGACACGTGTGACTGACACGCACAATAGAACAACGCCTCGTGTGGCTTCAGCAAGCAAACAGTAGAAAGTAGAAACTGCTTAATTAACTTGTTTCAATAGTTGTTTTTGTCTTGTAGAAGCGGTTAAGATTTCAGAGGGACGGATTCTTGATCAACCACTAGCAACATTGATATTGTCCTCAACTTAACTACCTGTCTAATAGATGTGGGGTTTTATACAAAAGGCATCGATATTATCAGGAGTGGAACCATTTATTATATGAGACTTTCTATTTTGTTAAGTTTCCGATGTGGGACTCATGTATTCTTCAACATAAGCTAAATCAGTTTGTCAAGGCAATGAGTGGGTCATTTTTATTCATGTTCGAGTCCCCCTTCCTCTAAGTTAGAGTCTCCCTTCTCGTGTATTAAATTTATTTAAAATATTATTTTATCATACTTTGAGTTAATTTTCTAAAGCAAAAAAGAAACCATAAACTAGCTTTTGCTTCCCAATGTTTAATTGAACACGCGGTGGTTCAAATGGAAGTTGCCCTGGTACTTTTTTGACTGGATTATTTCTTTGCACTATTCATATTTCCTAAAAGTAATTTAAAATTCCCACCATCCAAAAAGGAGGAAACTGATACTCAAAAAAGAAATAAAGGCAAAAACTCATCATATTATATTACATTGTAAGAAATCAAATCGGGCTTTGTAAATTTGGGCCGACATTATGTTTATTTTATTTTTTTGTTCCTTAATTTATGGTAAGATAACACATGTAAAGCCCAGCCCAATGGCAAGGGTATAAAAAGAAGAGAACTGAGAACAAACCTAATCGTAGGTATTTTTCATGGTCCCATTGAGGGTATTTCTGTCAATCAATAGCAACTATCTAAAAACTGTAATATCAAATTTAATCAAAATTAAAAAGAGGGGTGGTGTGTGCCTGCCACCCGTTTGATAAAGTGCCCGTATATGCATTAAGGGCCTTTGCTTTGGGCCATTCAAGCATAAAATTGTTTGCCTTAGATTAGATTCATGCTCTGCATATAAACTCACATTGCCAGTTCAACTATAATGTTAGTTAACAAAATTTTCATTAATTCTTATCTGTTTTTTAGTTACAAGGGAGTTCAAATGGAGGAAGCGCAAGAGGCACAAACCCCTACAAAAGTCTTCCTTCTTTCTCTTCTGCTGTTTCCTTTCAAATTAAAACCATATTCTTTTGAATTTGCATTTAGAGGATGACAGGAACTCTCTATATGTGGCTGAGGTTTAACATCAATGAGATTGAAGAAATTAAACATGGATGTTTATAAAAATTTCTCCAACCCATACACCAAGTTCTGCAATAAGAAGACATGATAATCAGTATCGAATATCGATTGAAGCATGATGCTTGAAAAATTTAAGAGATGGTTACCTTAATGCGCACAATCTTTCTAATTGCTAGGAGAAGGCCTGGCATGAGACATTGCACATCTGTGATGTCATGTTTCAGAGAGTAAACCTGTGGAAAGCAAAGTTGTTCAAGCCAATACTTACTCAAATGAGAAGAAATGAGTAAGCCCAGAAACATACCTCTCCTACACGAGAAAAGTAAACCGTTGTGCTGGCAGGAAGCCCTGGAAGGACTAAGCTGTGCACACGAACTCCATCTTCTCCCAGAACTTGGCCCCTTGCCTTGTGTCATAAGATTAATAATAATGAGTTCCATTCCAATCCAAGGCATCAACTATAAAAGCAAGTTTTGTACTGGGGCTTACTTGAACATCTGTTGAAATATCCTCTCTGTTGTAAATCTGGCCAAGGTTAGACAAGTTGTTGGCAATTTGGGTTGCATCTGATGATGGAAAATCCTGTTTCCCAAACACAGCTTTAGCATATCTTCATAGTTTGCAATTTTTTTTAAAGAGTAACGGAGTTTACCGTTGCAGTTGCCCTTGATTCGACGATTTCTACATTGTTGTAGTGGAAGGAAGCTGAAATTGCAGCTTGTTGTAGAAGTATAGATCCAATGGATAGGGTTGGTGCAACAAGACAACCCTGAACAAAGTAGCAGCTCCATTATCAGTGAGAAACTCAATGTTACAAGGAAGTGAAAAAGAAAAGCACATAAACTTGTGAAAACTTATTGCGTGACATCTCACTCTGTGCTCACCATGCTGGCTTTCTCACAGAATGCAGATAATGCTGATACTGTTTCTAACTTAATCTGAGGCACATAAACCACACTTCTCATCCCAAATGCTGTTGCCTAGTAACAAAGAAAGTTTTAATTAATGTTTCATACTATGCATGGAAACTGAGAAGCAAAAACTTACATGAATTAATGTGGCTTTTTACCTGTTTTACATTGTCATAGACTTTGGAAGGCTCAGTGAAATCAACAACTACCCCCAATGCTTTGGACTGCCAATTAACACAAATGGCAAGATTGAGAGAAATTAACATTGACAGAATGATCACAAACACATAGAAAAGGAGGTCATTTTGATTTTGATTGTGATTTGTTACCTGAGAAATGGAGCCTAAGACCATTGTGAGATCATTGGTTATTGGTATTTCCAGAGGCTCTTCCATGTCACACACCTACTTTGTTTGAAGGAAGGATCAAAACATCCCCGTTATATTACTGTGTTGTTACTTCAAATATACAATGTTTTACAATGTAGAAAAGAGATAAATATACCTTGCCAATATCTTCTCCTACTAGATAAGAATCCACTGCACCAGCCACCTCCATCCCTCTGGCTCTAGTCACTGCAATTACAGCTGCCCTTCCTATTTCCTTTGCTGCTCCATTTATAATTACCCTGATGTTGTTCTGAGGAGGTTGCATTGAGCAAAACATGGAAGGTCTTGATTTGGCATTGGGATGTTGATAAGTCTTGCAGGCCAGAGACTGAAATTGGCAGCTCAGGCCTACTGCCATGGTTTTTTCTCAGCCCAGCAATGTCTATGCCCAAAAGATAAGCTTTACCGTTTTCATGGTCTCTAAGATAAGGTTTTTGTTTTGTTGGTTGGTTTTGTTTGGAGGGAAATCTGTGACAAATGGACACATAGACAGGCATGCATGTTTCTCTTGGAGCTTTTCTTTTTGGTCCATGTTGCCCATGTGTCCATGGGAACCAAGCAACACATTCTAATTCTTTTTTTTTTGGTGGTTTTCACATGCTTCCATTCCTTTTGTCAAATTATTTGGATTTCCACCTATTATTATTTTTGTGGTGAATTCCCAATTTCTCCCACTAGCTAATGATGATTGGATGCTGACTGCTGACCTGTCATAAACAAATAATGCAAACCAAAAAGTCAAGGTGTCACGGTCAACACTCACGTAATTATGAATTTTTTTTTTTAAAGTAACGTAATAGTGAATTTCTAGATTGGATTAACGGAGTTTGATTTTTCCTCAATACAAGAATTAAGCTGGTTTTTATTTTTAATAATGTTGACGAAGACTTGTTCTTAAAATTTGTATGTAAAAATAAGAAATTCTTGTGACCTCCTGTGAAAAGATTAAACAATTGGCTCATTTGGGTTACCCTATGATACAGCTAAAATTAACTTACCATAAGAAGGAACCCATTAAGATAATGACAAGTAATTATTATTTAACTATTTTATCAGAGAATTAACACGTAGAGTTGATTTGGGTCATGTGGATCAAAATAATTATAATATTAATCCAACGCAATTAAACAAGGTACGCAAATGATTATGAACCTCTGACTTGGTAATGTGTAATGAGAGACAGCAAGCCCAAATGACCAACCATATACCTTTCATTCTTCAATGATGATGTCGCTTCCAACATATCACATTATACTATACCAACCTCTCTATTTATTTACCATTAATCTTTGAAAAGAAACCCAAAAAATTGGAAATATATGAATTGATTTTTGAGGTGACAGAATTTGATAGCACACCACAATTCTTGCGCAACGTCAAAATCAGGCAAATATTGCAAAGAAAATCAGTCAGAATTTTCAAAACCCATATTGCTTGCTGAGGATGTCACGCATGAATGGAGATTGCCTCTTTAGCAAGCATTTTTGGGCATGCCAGCCTTGCCCCCCTGCCTGCCTGCTTGCCTGTGACTGCGAGTGAGGTCCAAATCCAGTGCCCCATCATTTTCCAACACAAAAACAAAAACTTTCCTCAATGTAAATTAAAGATACAACAAACTTTGCCTTTGAATTGTTTAATTCTTGGCAGTTGGATTTTCGTTTTCAAATTAAAACATAACTAACCATTAAAGGGACCTTCCACCGCCTTTTGATTCATATAATCAAATTTTTTTATACAAAAAATACAAGTAATAGTCTAAACTACAAAGAAAATAGGGTTCAAACTTGAGATTGACCCACAAGTTAAGACTATTTTTCACATAGTTATAACCCGTTGGCAATCAAATCTCTTCTGTATATTTAAATACAATTAGTATAACCAAATGGAACGTTTTGGTAGAACCAACAAATACTAACTGCTTATTATACTCAGCCAACAACTGGAACTGCACTTAAATCGTAAGATTTAATAGAACTTCTTGTATTAATTAATTAGCAGAGTTTTATGAAGACCCAAATCATTGTAATTAGCAAAAATGATTAGGAGTTCAGACTTTAGGCACATGCACTTTCCACCTGCCTCCATCTAATTTGGAACACCACCAACCTTAGGGTTTAGGGTTGGCTGTGGTGTGGTGTGGGACCTATAAAACTGGGCCATTTATCTTGTATGATTATTTAGCTAGTGATCCAAGACTTGCCAAATACGGGTCGAAATTTATAGCCCCTCCCTTTCCATGTTTGCCAAAGCAAAAGTCACCAAGACCCCAGGCTAGCAGCATGCATTCATGCTTCAATAGTTTGATAATGTTGTGATGAACAACAAGGATGATAAAATGTATCCTCAAGGAAAATGTCAAATGCAATTGATTATCACTATTTTTATTTGACAAAAAATATGGCATCTGCACAATAATAACGTTCGAATGTCTGCACAATATGTGTGTTTGCTGTAACTACATGCATATTCTGTACTTTTAACTTTACCACTATGAGTTAGGGGTAGGTTTTGGTTCTTTTTCCTTTGTGTTTTTAATTATATATTTTGGTAAGTATTAAGACAAATATAATTCTTCATCTTCTTCAAAAACAAATACACAAAAAGAACAATTGTGTATGTTTGTCACGTGCTTCATAATTCCAAGTCTCCCACAGAAATTCTATAAAACCACTGCGACGTAAAGCCAAGCCAATACCCTACCCACCTTGCAAAAAAAAAAAAATTCCAATACCCCCTTGCCGAAAAAATAAGAGGGGGAAAATAGGCCATTCACCCGATGACCAATTCTATAGACCAAATGGTCGGTATCATGTCCCCAATCAAAGACAAGACATATTTCATAATAAAATAAAAAACAATAAGAAAATTACAAATAATCCAAATTAATTATTAATTGCTTGGATTTGGGGCAGACACATTTGTTAATGAGAAAAAGATTAAGATAATCCTCCCTCCTGGTTAGACAAAGGCAACAACCGCCCCTCCCCATAATCTATAGTAGGTTGCACCGTCTCCATCCATCCACGCATGCACACAGACACAGTCCCAACTTTAAACAAATCACACGGTTCATACTTGGCGGCGACTCTCTTTCTCTATGGTTCACAATTCGCCACGTGTCACAAAGTTCCCCCGTGTTTGGTTACACGTATGGGAGTGTCGGTGCGACGGTGGTGGCGTTTGCTTGTAAATAAGTCAGTTTTTCTGGGGACAATTTCTCCTGTGACGTAAGCATACAGATAATTGTTTAATTCTTCTTGGCTTTTATCCTTTTTGTTATTTCAATGGCCAAAACCTTTTAATAAGTACAAAATTAAGGTGGCCAAAAAAAAAAAAAAAAAAAACCAAGAGCATCAAAGCAAACCCCAGAAAGGGAAATAAAGTGTTATTTGCAATGCTCCAAAGAGTATTATTTTCTTTTGATATGCTTAGCTTCACCAATTTGCTCCAACATCCCCCTTTGTTTTTCTTAATTTTATGTACCCATATCTTTAAACAGGCCCTAAGTCTTAATTTAATGTACCTATATCTTTTTATTTTATTTTATGAAAATGTATCAATATATTTATTTATTGGAAAAGTAAGAAATTTGGAGATGAAAAGGGTTTTTTTTTTAAATAATTATTTAACATATATGAATGAAACAAGACACGGCAAATCAATCCGAAATTTACTTCATCAATAAAGTCTAACGGACCAGTGTGAAAATCAGAAAGAAGGCACCCTAACATGATTTGATTATTCCTATAAATAAGTTAATTTAAATAAACAATACATGATTATAATGGTGGAAAATAATATTAATAGTGGAAGGCTTCAATTCAAGTGAAGAAAGAACGACTTTTCAGGAAAAAAAAAAAAAATTTATTTTAGGGTCACCAATAATATTTTAAAAAATAAAAGTGAAAATGAAACACGTGTGCGACGGGGCTTACTTACTGCCACCACCGTTAAACCACAAAGTTAGCGCCGACCCTCCACGTTAATCTCCCACGTGTGTGACGTAAACCTCCCTAATTAGCAGGACAATGATTACGTCGCTTTTTAGTTCCCAAACTACCCCCGGTTGGACGCGTGTCGAGATACCAAAGAAGGTACGAAACTTTTCTATACCACTTCTGCAAGTACCGGAACTAACCCTGGTTTGGTGTATGACCCAAAGTTTCGTTTCCGTGTTATTTTAACCTTTAAGACAGCTTTGGCGGCTTTCGTAGTTTCTTTCTTTCCCTTTCTTCGCTTTCTTTTTCCTTTTTATTTCTTACAAATTCTTATAGAAATAATTATTTATGCATAATTATGTACCCATTTTTTTTTTTTGGTAATTATTATGTACCTATATTTAATCATTCATTCACATATATAATAATGAGGTGCCAACAGCTCGGTTAGCTAGCTGGCTGGCCACTTGATTTTTATACTCTTCCTCCTTTTTTTTTCCTCTTCCTTCTCTTCTTCCTCGAGTTCTCCAGAACCAGAGAAAAGAGAGAGAGAGAGGGGACTTGTAACTCCTTTGATTCTGATTTCACATTGATTTTTCCGGCACCCACTTTGGGAAGATCTCAGGCCTGAGCTTGTTGGGTTTTTGTTTTCTTGGCAGTATTTTTCCTAGAAAATTTCTGTCAGCTCTTTGACTTGAGTACTGCATTTGGCTGAAGAGATCTATAATCTGAGGCCTGGTAGGTTCTGTCGTCTGTGTTTTCTGTATTGCAGCCGTTTCAGTGATTTTGTACTTTTTTCTTCAAGTACAAGGCTTTAACTTTACAGGCGAATGGGTTGTGTCTGTTTCTTCTGCCAGACGCCATTGATTCTTGTGTAAAGCAAATCAAAGTTATGGTTTTTCTCTCCACATGCTCTGTTTACGCGTGGCGGTTGGTGTGATGCTGGGGTCAGAATCAGAGAGTTCTAAAGCAGGGTCTGGTCTAGCAAGCTTTTCTCTCAATTGGGTATCTATAATTTTTGACGCAGATCGACAGGAAGAAAAAATCTGAGAGATCTCTCCAAGAATTACAGAGAAAAAGATGATGAGAATGAAGACGAAGACAACTGGGGTGGCACTTTCAGAGTTGAATGGAAGTTCTGGCAGTGGCGGAAATGAGTCGGGGCCGGCCGAGTGGGAGCTTAGACCAGGAGGAATGTTGGTTCAGAAGCGAAATCCAGACTCTGATCGGAACATGGCCCCTCCACCGACAATTAGAGTTAGGGTCAAATATGGGTCCATTTACCATGAAATCAATATTAGCGCTCAATCTTCCTTTGGTAATTTGTACTTCTCAATTTCGTAACTTTATTATGTTTCTAAATTTGTCTATTTTAGTATGAGCAAATTACATTATGTAATGTTGGTTGTGCAGGGGACTTGAAGAAAATGTTGGCTGGACCGACGGGTTTGCATCATCAAGATCAGAAGCTGATATTCAAAGACAAGGAGAGGGACTCAAAGGCTTTTCTTGACATGTCAGGGGTGAAGGACCGATCGAAGATGGTGTTAGTTGAGGACCCAATTAGCCAAGAAAAGCGATATCTCGAGATGCGACGAAATGCGAAGATGGAGAAGGCTTCAAAGTCAATCTCTGAAATCAGCTTGGAAGTAGATAGGCTCGCTGGCCAGGTATTTTATTGTCTTTTGGTCTTTGCAAGTACTATATCAGAAGCGTATGCAGAGATTTCTCTTCGTAATTTAGAATTCTTGTTTCGTAAAACTGAATGTTTTGGCGTTGGTAATTGTAGGTGTCGGCTCTTGAATCAATAATCTCCAAAGGTAAAAAAGTTGCAGAACAAGATGTGCTTACACTGATTGAGCAACTGATGAACCAATTGCTTAAACTAGACGGAATCATGGGCGATGGAGATGTGAAATTGCAGAGGAAAATGCAGGTAATTTCAATTACTATGGTCTCATGTTAGTAATTATATGCACTGCAATGGTAATTTATAACGTGATTATAAATTTGTTTTAAAGGTGAGGAGAGTGCAGAAGTGTGTTGAAACTTTGGATATATTGAAAGCTAAAAACTCCACGCCTAGCAGCAATGGAGGTCAGACTCCAAAGCAAGTTCAGCAAAAGCATTCTAATGGGCATAGACATGGAGCAATCCATCAACAGCCTCAAAGTCATTACAATGGAAATGAGAATTTGCTAACACCAATTCAAGAGCATCAACCAAGGCATTCAGTTGGATATTCACCTTTACATCAGCAAGGGCAACAACAACAACAACAACAACCATCAAGGCATTCAGCTTCAGGGCCAGTAGTTGTCACCACACAGTGGGAGACATTCGATTCTGCCCCGGCATTGATCCCAACCTCTTCGACATCCAAATCGGCCTCAGCCGCCAATAATTCTGGCTATCCTAAGTTTAATTGGGAATCGTTCGAGTAAGCCGGCCGCCACGTATTGTTTGTGTGTGTGTGGATGTGTTTTGATATTGTGTCGCCAATGTGCTTGCTGCTATCTCTTCTACATTCTTTTCTGTACTTAGATGAAAATGTTTCCAACCCCTTTTAATCTGCCATTCAGTTCACCAGAAATAAATGGGGTTTACTACAATAGGGATTTATTATCAATATGTTCCTTCTTGAGTTCTGTTGTCCTTTGAATTCATTTTCTATTTCTGTGGTTCTGTTTTTTTATACTATAAAATTGGCTATCTATCTGTATATTTGTTACTAGAGGAATTATTAGTGTCCAAACTTTGAGATGCAGATCTCTGTCTCGAAATCCAGTGATTTAAATTTGTGCTGCCATAGCTTCTGTCTCCCTCCCTCCAATAGGGTAAAGCAGTTCAATCACACTCTTTTTTAGGGTGGGGGGTGGGGGGGGCTTTGAATTTTATATATGCAAATGTGGGTAGTTGATGAATTTATACCTTGCTTCCAGCAGAGGCTTACAAGCTGACAAAAAGAAGAGCAGTGATGAAAGGCTATTCTAATCTATAATGAACTAACCAACCCATCAGATGATAAAAGAAAGTGTGGATAAATCGGGAGATATGTCATGATTTCGGTGAATTCCTTATACTAATGATAATATTAGTTAAGAGAAGATTTGTTCCTCCCTCTGTTATGATTATTTTACAAACTTCAACTTTTCCAATTTAGGAATTCCTCCTCTTTTGACCTCAAATCCAATTTAACTCGGAGGCTATCATACCTACTACACAAATAAGATATAGTAAGAAAATATGGTAGTGCTATTATAATAAGAATAAATAGGCCAATGATGAAGCTTGGTTTGGACAGCTTATGATTGTTGATTGCTTGCAAACAAAGGCATTGCATGTAAGCTACACAAACTCCTGCAAACTAAAATGAAAACCAAGTCAAATATCTAAATCACTTCCCTGTTGTGCTGATGATTCTCTTTTTTCTATTTTCCCTGTTGGTTCCCTTAAAGCAGGGCAATTAGTTGCAAGAGGTACAAAAGGAAAAGAGCCTCAAAAATTTCCTCCTATAACTTATATATTAGAATTATCAAAATGGAAGAACTAGGTAGGGTATAAAAGGTTGTATTCCAGGAGGAGCAGGCATTGGCATCTCCGAAAGCTAATTACTGCTCACAAGCTAAGAACAATTCTTAGCTAGCAACAAGGCCACAAAAAGATGGGAGGGGATCTGTTGTCCCCATTTTCTATGTCCCTTCATGTCCCCCCACTAATTTTTTGACAAGTGTCTACTTACTTAACTCCAACTTAACATTGTTAAGTTAATCAAATTTTAAAAAAATATCCTAAAAACTAAAATAGAAAAAACAAACAAGCCACCAACAACCGCACCTCCCCATTGGCCCCCAAGCCTCCTCACTTCACCACCAGCGAAGCATCCTCTCTTCTTTCTCTCTCTCTCTCTCTCTCACTGCCTCCTTCCCCTGAATTTAGTCCTCTTTTCCTCTTCTTTCTCGTTGTGGGTACTGGGAATAGTGTTTCTTAAAATAAACTAGTCCAAATTCCATTCAATTCTAATTGGGTTATATCAGATCGGCAACAACGATTACTAGAACAAAAAATATACCAAGAGCAGCCACTTCTCAGTACAATATGGGACCAAATTCAGAAAAGGGGCAGTGAGAGAGAAAGGAGGAAAGAAGGAGACAATGTATTTAAATGGTATATTTTTTAGCCTTAATATTTTTGAGTCATTTTCACTGAAATCAAAAGGTTGATTCGTATGGCTGGGATTGATTACTTTAACAATTAATTTAATCGAGACATGGATTGATTAGTATGGCTGGGTTTGATTCCTATGAAATCAAAAGGTTGATTCCTATGGCTGGGATTGATTACTATAACAATTAACTTAATCGAGATAGGGATTGATTCCTATGGCTGGGATTGGTTTTCTTCTCTGAAATTTCCTAACAGAGATTAGGAGGGAGGAGAACTGGGTTTTGCAAGCATTTGAGAGTTGATGGTGGAGAAGATGCAGAGATTATGAGGGAGGAGAGTGGGTATGGCTGGATTTTGCAAGGAAGGAATTGATGCTACAATTGGAGAAGAGGAGAAGACGCCATCGGAGAAGACGAAGACGCTTGCTGGCTCGCTAGGATATTTGGGCATTTTTTTAATTTTTAAAATTGTCAAATAAAGAAGTTAACAGAGTTAACTCTTGTTATGTTAGTTGACATGTGTTGGCAAATTCGAGAGGGGATACCAATTTGGGGACAGCGGATTGGATAGTTTGGGATAGCGTGTCAGCTGGTTGGGACGCAAGACAAGGTACCTGTACCCGAAACCGACACAGGTGGGTAGGTAGAGAATACCTAGCAGATCCGCTCTCAAAAAAGATAGATAGAAGGGAGCTTCTACAATGAGGGGCTATATTGAGGGGTTAAAATGAAAGAGTTCAATCCAACAATCTAATAATAACTTTGCATTAGATCAAACGGCTATTAAGGACCATCTCATTATAACTCCTCACAAAGAAGCGAAAATCTATAGTGAGGGTGTCATATGGACTTCTCACATGGACCTTCATATTAGCCACATAATCATTCCATTAAACTTAAGTGAAGTAGCTATTCAAAGGAATTATCTGGCTAATATAAAGGTCCACATCTATAATCCATATATAACACCCTCACCATAGAACAATTCGTAATTACTGGTCACAAGCTAAGAACAATTTTGAGCTAGCAACGAGGCCAAAAAGATTGATAGAATCACAAAGAAAATGGGATGGGCTGGGCTGAGGTCCGCTGCCAATATCCAATACCCTTAATGAAAAAAAATCTTATTAATAGTGGGTTTTTCTTAAATCTGTTGAGTAAAATAAGCCCAGCAATCTCAACAAAAAGGAAGGAAAGAAAAAAGCCCAAATTGTGCGAAGGTGTTTAATGGGCACACATATTTCCTCAGAGAAAAAGATGTTCCTTGGATGAACATTCGTCTAGTTATTTTGTTTTCAATCAAACTGCTCCCACTAACATAATTCTAGAACTTGAGGAGGAAAGTGATCATGGGTAGGGCCCAACTAAAAATACATAGTTGTAGAAAGAAAGAAAGAAAGAGGAAGCAGTGGGGCCCAACTAAAATGGGCTTCTTCTTCTTAGAGCATTTCCAGCAATGCAGGTTGGGTTCGGGCTGGGGGGGGTTTTGGGTCTTGTAGGCGTTTCCAGCAACAAAATGGAGCCCGGGCAAGAGGTGGGGGCCAGCAGCCTGGGCTGGCCCGAGGTGGGGTTTGGCCCGAGTGCTTGCCTGCGGGCTGAGCTGACGTGGCTGGCTCTGGGCACTTCGATCTCCTTTTTTCCAGCAATCCAACGGCAGCAAATTTTTTCCCAATAAAAAAAAATCGAAAAAATGTAAAAAAATACCCAAAAAATACTGAAATTGTTTTCTATAAATACCAACCAATACTCTTCACTTTTAACACCAACAACCAATATTTTTGTAATAAAAAATTGAAAAAAAAACCAAAAAATTACTTCTTCTTTTTTCTCTATATATTTCCATTTTCAACATTTAAGTAAATGTCTTTGTCCTTTTACTTGTATTTATTTTTATATTACTCAATTTACTTAAGTTTACAGTGTAAATAAGGAAGTACCCCCCCATTTGGATTCAAATAAAAATACTAGAAAATCAAATTCCCACCAAATCAAAATATGAAAAATCGGTTTTAGTGCAAAATACGATTTAGGCTTAAAATGATGGCTCATTAAGTCAATATATACTTCATATTAAAATCCCATAAAATCAAGTTTTCTTATTTGATGTGTAAGGAATAAAAGTTGCCAAAAATTTTCTTGAGAAAATGATTATTTCGAAAAACCATTTTTCATACTTAGTCAATATTGCACATCAGCTAAAAATCTTGAAAAAATGATTCTTCATACATAGGAACCCAAAAATCTTATCCGAAAATATTATCAAATTAATTGTTTAAGTAAACAAAGTTGTGAAAAAAATATATATATATTTGCCATAGCAAGCCTAAACTGCTGGAAACACATTTTGCTAAGGGAGGGTAGGGCAGCCACTATTCACGTGAATAGTAGCTACCCTAGGGCTCCCCTTACTATGACAAGGGGCTAACTGGTGGAAGTGCTCTTATGCTGCCATGCCAGCTCCCAACTGCTTCTTATTTTCCAAATCCTGGTTTTCTTCTAGTAAGTAATTAGATGTGTGGAGTTGATTTTAAATGAAAAACTTGTGTCATGGTATCAAAGTCATAGTTCAATTCCTCATAGGTAAGCTTTTGGGTTGGAGAGTCAGTCACATTTTAGTTCCAGTTATTGACTGCTTTTGGGATGTAAACACACAGTATTGCTGTAGTAGGTAAGCTTTGCTTTTTTTGTTTAGGTTGGCTTTGGCTTCTATAAAAACATTAAAATGAAAAAGAAAGACGGTGAAAATGCACAAACACCAAAGTCAGTAAACATACATGATATAATTTCAAAAGAGAGCATGTTAGAGAGAGAGAGGTTCATGGTGGGTGGGTGTCCATTTTTGGACTTTAAGCATGCATGAAGATGAAGCTAGCTGGCTTTAATTTGCAGTCAAATTTATACTTTATTGAAGATTTCAAAATCAAAGTCGCCAATATAATATACTAGTGCAACCTATGATCATTGTAGAAGGTAACGATAATATCAGACATATATAAATCAGTCTTACAAGATATGTATATGTGTGTGTGTCTGTCAAATGAAGCCAGTAAAACTTAACGGAAAGTGATTTGAGTTCTCATTGAACGCAAACATATCTTGACAAATTGTCTGTATGTCTCCAAATCTCTCTGCAAATCCAGTTTCTCCCTCGATCTCTCTGTACACCCCTTCAAATTTGTATTTGTATGACTCTTGACAAATCTGGTTCAAACATACTGCTCAGCCATAAAATAATTAAATAAAATTTGACTAAATTAACTTAGTTTTTGGCTATCTAA